TCAATCCGAGGCTCAGAGGGGCTGGAGACCGTTGGTACCCGATGACAGGGTGGGGTGGAGTGTGTAGATCTTCGGGCGATGTGGTCCTTTTAATCAATTGCAGTGGCAAAATGCATTTCACTGGCCTGGTTAGTTCGAGTCGCTGTTGTTTTGAAGAAGTGGTGGGGGTGCCTTAGGAGCTCCCGCTCTTTACCGCACTTCATTGTGTTTGCACTGATCATGCTAATTTGGTCAAACCAGCCCGCGGCATACGGATCCGTCACGGTGCTCGGTTTTTTGGGGCAGAGGTGGGCCAAGTGGCAAAAAAAATAACAACGCACCGTCTGAGACTTGTTACTAGTAGCTTCTTGTTACTACTAGTAAGGCACTTGTTACTACTAGCGATGCACTTGTTCCTAGTAGCTTCTTGTTACTACTAGCCCATAGAAACAGGATTCCAATTCTGCACCGGTCATTATGGCCATTGTGATCTAGAACAGGGGACATTGTTTTTTGTTGATCAATGGTCCATCGGACGGTCATGCTTGTGACCCATATTCCTCTAGAGACTCTTGATTAGATGAACCCATGAGTTGCAGAAGCGAAGTTGTCCTGCAACGTCGCCCAGAACCGTTGCAATTGGCGTTAGCTGAGCAGAACAACCACAAACGGCGCCGAAGCGGAAGACCGATCATTCTGGGCAATGCATACTGCATGAGCTCCTGCAGCACCGAGCGATGCTTTAATCTCAATTAAACTGTGCAAGCATTGTACCGAGAGCTGCTGGGAGAATTGTGCCCTTTACACCAAAGATGAAACGAAAGCATTCCCAGGTATTGGAGGGCAGTGGTCTACACCGTAGTGCCTGCTCCACAGCACAGAGGTCTCCTCTCTTACTTTGATTGGATCCAGCACCTACCCAGTTGCCACAGTTGCATCATCAAAGCATATCAGCCACCGGCCGTTGATGTCATGCTGCGATGTGGGGGCCCGGCACGTCTTGCACCCTCGCCCTACTTGGGCCAAAGCAGCTGGGGGCAGGGCAACCCAGAACCATCCGAGATGATATGCATACCGATCTTTGACTGAATATTGATACGTATTTCATATCTATATAATTTTATGATATTTCATGGGTACATATGCATATTCAACCCACCACTTGCCCCATGCCCTTGGAGGTTGTGATACAAGTAGAAAGTTGAAAGGGACCTTTCATTTGGGTATAGACTTGCCATGCTGGCAAACGTTTTCCATCTTGACTGGCAGGATCTTGAACAACAATAGTCTCAGATTCTGCAACATCATGATCTAGGTTTCCGCAACGTTCCGGAAGTCCTTACAGTGAAATCCAGCCGTTGTAGACGTTGCACGGTTTTACACAAAAGACGCCAGCAACCACTGTTGTTTGGCGATGTTTTTGCTTTGCGTTGGTCACACCAGGATGTTGTTGTGCTCGCCGTGGGCATTGGCTCATCACCCAAGCACTCCACCTTCTTTGGTGCCTCTACAGGAAAAACCTTAAACTTATTGGTGGATTCGATCCTGTACAATGTCCATAATATGAATGATATCATATATTATATTTGATTATATATATGTATTATGTATGACATTATGACATGTACCTTAGATAAAAGTCTCATGTGACAGCATGTGGTCGACCCTAGCGGTTCAGGTAAGTGCTCAAGTGTGTCAAAGCCCAGCCTGGCAGCGGTTTGATCCGATGGGTCGAGAGGAGATTGGTCGTTGGTTGGCTTTTCTTCGGCCATCGTCCAACGCCGTGGAGTTGCAACTCTCCAAAGTGCCTATTGAAGACGTCGACCAGCAGGAGCTGTCAGAAAGCTTCCTGCCCTTTTTGGCAGTGTAGTGGCCGAGTGGCTGATGTTTTGTTTCATTTTTCCACATCCCATTGTTTCCATCAGTAGGCCACTCCAAAAGACCACCGCTGGCCGTCCCTGGGTTCTCGAGATTGGAATGGAACCACGTTTTCGCCGTCCGTCGCGTCACTGGCCGTCCCTGCTGGTGACGCTCTGGATGAAGCTCCGGATCAACAGGCTTCGAGTCTTCAAAGCAAGACTGACCAGTCCCCTTGTTTTCTGTCCATCTGAGGCTTGAAGTCGAACCAGTTCCTTCAGAGCTTATGGCTCACGGGCAATGAGCTGACGGCGGAGGGCGCCCGCGCATTGGGTGAGGGCATCGCCTCCAATCAGAGCTTGAGGCGAGGATCATAGAGGATTGCCTCCAAGGTATCCCATAGTATCCAGAAGAAATGGTATAAGTTTAAACATTCTAATTAGAGGAGTATCGAGGATTGCATGCTATCCAGATGTTTGGGCATTGATTTGGTGAACATTGTTTTTTTTTTGGGGGTGGGGGGTTACTTGTCCAATGAGTTGTGACATGTCATTGCAGAATATAGTTTTCCCGTCGTCTCTACTTTTTTCCGCCTAAGGCCTTGATGTAGCCGCCAGCTAGTTGCTGCCCTACGCTCCCAGTACCGTGTGTTGGGAGTAATAGTGAATTCATGTGCATTCGATACCCAGGACCTTGAGAATCAACTACAACGGCCGCATGGGAGTCGAAGGTGTCGAGCACATCATGATGCTTGGCGAATTGGTCCCACGACCTTTCTCCGCGCGCACCGTCTCCGCGCCGAGAGGAACGCGGTGGCTGCGAATCCACGGCTGCAGAGCTTCCACTTCGGCGACAACGACCTCCAAGCAGAAGGGCTCCTCATTGTGACCACAGCCTTGGTCGCTGGGACGGATGGGACACCCGGACAGCCACCCCACCTGACCAGTTTGTGAGGGCTGTCCGATGGAGGACATCCGGCAGGGTTCCCGTCAAAAGCTCCGAAACCAGGCCTATTTGTTTGTCCAAGAGACACTCCCCTCGGAACTGTTCCGCTTGCTGGCACATCTTGGGGTCAATGTCCGGGGTGACTCAGAAAAGCATAAAAAGCTCCATGCTCAGTGGATGTTGAAAGCTATAGGGGACTAGTTTGATGACATGCTTTCTGGAGTTAAGAAAACCGATGGCGAAACCATGTAAGCTTGGGTGACAAGTCTGAACATGGGCAGGATGATGGTCAAAGCGTCAGTGCTCACCAACCAATGGTTTTGGGCATTTGGTTTTCACGTATCCTGAATCATCCATCCAAATCTTTTAGGATCTTGCAGTAGGAAACGCATGCTGCGGTATGCAGTGTCCAAACACTTCCCAAAAGAGTTCAACCAATCCAATAGTGGTGATGTTCCAACACCAGTAGGTCATGTATGTGTATAGGTCCCCCACTCAGCCTGGATACGACATCTAAGTCTTTTGCATTCAGGATGATTCAGGCCTGCACTAGACCATCAATCAACTGTTTGTAGGTAAAGGGACCCGAAGACAAACCACCTGACCAACTTGTTTCTTTTTTGCAAAACCTTAGCAAAAACGGGCAAACATCACCGCCTTTTTAGGTGGAGTTATGGTGGGGTGATATGGGGTGATATACTACTTGACTTGGAAGTAAAATACTCTCCCGAAGCACCCCCAAAGAAGCACCTCCGCCAACAACAACAGCAACAACAAACACAATCTTTGCGTTGTCACCTTCTTGCCAGGCATTGCACACGGGCTTGCGGCACTTGGATCTCTCGTGGGCGGGCAACATCGGCGTGACCGGCGCACAGGCGCTGGCACAGTTGCTGCGGAAGCTGGGTGGCACAGCTGGAGGCCGCATGGAGCCACCGTGGCGTTGTGAGCGGTGACACTATTTGTCCTGTTTGCCATGACAACCGAACCACCCAAACTGATGCTTCATCAACCCACCTGGCAGGTGATCAGATGTCGTCAGTGCGAACCGTTCTGCGAATGAGAATCCCACCATGCCTGACAGTTCTGCCGGCACTTTGATTGATTTGACATGCCTTGCTGTGTTCTCCTCTATAAGAGAACCCCCCGGGCACGGCTTCAGACACCTCGTGCGGAACCACGGCCGGCATCGGCCGGCATTGGGTTGCTCCCCGGACCCCGAGGAGCAACCGGCGGCTCGAAGAGCTCCGACTCACCGAGAACGACGTGGGGCCCGAAGGAGGGAGACTCGATCCCAACGAGACGAGACGACATACGAGACGAGACGGGGGATGGAGGAGGGATGGGAGCTGAAGGGATGGAGCAAAGATGATGTTGGATGGGAAGGCAAATATAATATATTGTCAATTGACACTTAGGCATGTACAACTGCTGGAAGTCTTACACCAAGTCCAGTATAGGGTTGGATCTAGACCTGTTAAATTGTTAAGCATGTGACCTACGCAGTCAGTAGCGCTTCAGGAATTGGATTTCAAGAAAGTGGTATAGGGCAAGCTTGAGCATTTCGTGCATGCAAATGCTGAGGCGAGGCAGAATGATTGCATCCTTTTCCAGCGCAACCAAAGTCTTTTTCTGGCGGCAACCAACTCATCCTGCTATCCATTGGGCTACATCTTGATTTGGGTATAACTGCAAGTTTGGTTTTGAGACATGTTCACCAACCAAAGATGCCAAAGGCACGGCGTGGACCAGTCCAGTTCCAAGGAAGGCGATTGCCGAAGCTGCTGCGCAGAGCTCGCTGCGGCTGCTTCTTTGCGACTACAACTCCATTCAGGACTTTTGCAATTGCCCTTGGGATGTGAGGAAAATCCTTCGGGAACCCCTTCGTGTTCCAAACTCACTCCGGAAGTTTCTGCACTCATCTTCTCACTGTTGGATGGGCTGCAGGATTAGCCGAGACCCTGTGCAGGCACACGAAAATGATCAAAAATCAGTAACAACGGTACCCTTCCAAACCACAGTTCTCCAGGCCCCAGGCACCCACTGCGCTTGCTAGAAGTCCAACGTTGGAACGATCACGTTGTGCCACTAGATGATCTCCGTCAATCTCCATTTGTACTTCAAGTATCGCACATGACCCCCGGTCCATAGGCGACTTTGGAGCTTGGTCACGGCGTTGGCGCTCACGCCAGGATGACGGGGCAAAGGCCATTGCATGCATGATCCGTTTCTTTAATGCACTTTGGACCGCCCGGGGTTTTCCGGGTCGATCTCGGCACACGTGAGCTGAGCGGCACGGTTCAGCTGGGCGCGCGTTCCGTGTCCAAGCGGGGTATCTTCCAGCCGGATCCGGTGGATGATTTGGACCTCGGTGGAGGAGCAATTGACCAAGACCACAGATTGACCAAGGACTCCTTTTATAATAGGGGATGGCTTTAAAAAATAGGGGATGGCTTAAAAACATATTCCAGGGGTCATTTGACCTACTGGAAAATTTTTGGAATAATATTTCTGGAATAATATTTTAGCTAGGTAGTGGTTCAAGGTACTACCTATAAATTTGGAATAATTTTTGGAATAATATTCCAAGATGTAGACACATGTACATACATGAGAGAGATACCAGAAGAACCCAGAAGTGTTATCGCAATTGCAACCCCCTCACATGCTGACTCGCAGAGCTGTTCTGTTTGTCATGCAACTTGTGATGGTTCCCCAGCCTTTGATGAGTCTTGGTGGATCTAGGTTTCCAGGTTTCCATGAATTTGGCATCTCAGGATCCAATGACACGATCAAAACTCTGGGCCTCCATGCCAATGCGATGACTGCGATGGGTGTGGAGGTCATTTGCGAAGCTTTGCAGCTTGGCGCGTGACCCGATGGACGGATCGGTGACCCGGTGCCCCACGTGCGAATCTGCGAGCCGACCGTGATCGCGACGTCAGCGATTCAGCGATCTGGAGAAGATGAAGATGTTCTTTTGGGGGCTTTATGTGTGTCGGGGTGTGCATCATACATACTGATGTCGTGCTTTGCGTGCCTTTGCCATCGAGGAAGAGCAACAAGACCTTGCTCAACATAGATCTTCGCCACAACAGATGTGGCGATCTGGGCATTGTGGGGGAAGCGATGGGGAGGCTTGGCCATGCAAACACGGCAGAGGTGTTCGACAGGGAGTGCAAGCACTGCTGAAGGGGGGGCAATTGTCATTTGTGGATAAAAAGTTTGCAGCCTCAGCGCACATGCAAAGTTGTGTCTTGGTGAAGTCAGTTGCGTGCATTGAACTCTATTTGTGTGGCCTGCTTACATGATTCTTAAGGCAGGTCTGTCTTTTCTGCTGAGGCTTTGATCTCAGGTGATGGCCCTCCAACCGCACAGTCACACCCTTTGCATCGTGTTGCGACCTGAACTGCTGCCAGTCACTGTGATCACTGTGAGACGCAACGGTTCATTTGAGATATTTTGAGATCAATTGTGTGTGTGTCACAACCAGGGTCCTCACCCTCTATATATATATATATAATATATATATATATATAAACACCTACGTCCACGGCGACCAGCCATCCGCACGTCCACTTCCATGCGCGACCGGCTCTTGATCCGATCCCATGCCGCTCGTCCGAGCCCATTTGGCGCTCTGGCAGCGGGACGAGCACCAAGGATGAGCTCCGTCCGCGAGTGGGACCTCCGCAGCATGGGCTTGGGGCCTTCAGCCTTCAAGGCCATCGCACGCAACTGCGCGAAGCTTCAAAAACTGAACCTGGAAGGCGAGGGAACGAGGGAAGTCCCTAGTCAATGGAATGTGAGGGCTCTGGAAGGTGGGAGAGTTCAATATATGATTTGACCTAGGTTATGCAGACTTGAGGCGGTGAAAGCTGAAACCGTCTAAAACCAGTTGAAGCCTCCACGATCTTCGCAGTTGTCATGCGTCATCATACATCTACAGATATCGAGGCACAAATGCTCGTCCACATGCACGCAACATGTAGCGCCAATGTTCTACTTGTGCAGACAATGAGCCTGGCTTGGATGGCTACATTACTTTTGCCGACCACTTCAAGGGCACAGCGCTGGCGACTCAGACTCAGACAGATGGCGTGCCCTTCTGACTTTGCAGTCCTTCTTGCAGTCACCGGGTGGGTCTCCAAACTGAAAAACTATACATACTCTAACCCCTACCCTGTGCTGTAGCAATGGAAACCTTGGATTGCTATGAAGATAGCCATCAAAATCCACTGCTACTTGGGTCCAAAAGAAAGAACAGCCTGTTTTGGGCAGTTGAACTTGCAGTGCATGTCACCACATGCACGCATTGTATATATGCTCAGAGTTCAAGCTCTTTTTGATGAAGTGGATCACAGGGTCAGACTTCCATACACTAACAATGCGCGTTCTAACGAAAGGCAAGGCTGGATCAAATTAGGCCCTGGTCATAGAAGGTCTAGAGGGTCTTGGAGAGGCCTGCCCCTGATGAAAATGAACGTACATATATGTGTGGATGGGTTTGTTTCAGGGACACTGACATCTGCATGAATCCACAGCCTACAATAGAAAAATGGCAACAAGCCAGGAGATGGCAGGAAGGCTCGGAAGTGGCATGCCAAGGGGGGCAAGGCCTCAATGAGTGGTATCCTTCTCTAACCGTTGTACTTATTTACAAAACGTCTTAAATAGCAGGAACACCAACAGGAGCTACGTTCGTCGCGTCCTTGCCACTAGTAGTGATGCCCGATGCCCTTACTAGTAGCTTCTGATTTGCCAAGGAAATCCACCTTCCCAGGAGAAATGGATATAGGGGGGGACCTAGGCGGTGGATATCCAGGTTCGTCTATCCATTTATTGTGGTGTTGCGGTCGGACATGTGTTGATGTTCCGGACCATCGCAGCCATGCGCGGTTTTGCTTCTCACATCTTCTCACAGAAAGTTGTCCAATCAAAGGATAGGTTCGGATAGGTCCATTTAGATTTAGACCCTTTTGAACTCCCGACTGTGTAGAGAAGGTTCAGAAGCGGCTCCTGGTTTTCCCACATGTTCTTTTCATGTGGCTTTGTTTTTTGAACGCTGGCCTTAAATCTAGTCTGCCTTTGCCTTCGCCATGCGACAATGCCACTCGGCCAGGTCCGGAAGCCCAGTGCCCTCAGTTGGTGAGGTTTTTCCCAAGGAAAGACGGTGAAGATTTCAGCAGCCGGATCGACTTAGAAGCACCACTGAGGTCTTTAATGAATGTTAAATATATGGCGTGCTTCCTTGCATCAAAGGATTAGATAAGGAGATCGGCTCTAAAATGTCCAAATCTACAAGTGGACAAAACTATAAATACTTGACACATGACTCATGACCGTCCAAAGTGAACGCTGGTCATGAGGATATGTTCCCAGCTGGCATTACTCCACCCTAGTGCAGAAAGCTCATCCCATCTCATCCGTCTCGCAGGCAGTACTTGTTAGCGCGTGCTGCCCCCACCTTTTTTGAAGATCCAGTGATATCCAATGGTATCCAGTGGATGGTATAGTTTTCACGATGCTTTTGTTCGGGAGGGGCTTTGCCACCATCTCTCGAAGGACCATCAGGCAGAACCATGCAGAATCCAAGCATATCCAAGCATTTCTTGGTTGATTCATATATGTATATATAGATTCATATGGAACCATACTGTTGGAAGATGGTACCATATGGCACGTGGCACACCGTGGCGCCGACCCTCTATGAGTCCATGATGGACATGTCAGCCTGGTGATACACCTTCAAAGCCAAATTCACGACGACGACGACGACGGAGGAATGGGGAGTGCCCACCATTTGGTGTAATGATTCTGGTTTGTTTAGGGCATCCGTTTGCTGGGACGACCTCCCGGAAGCTGCTCGTGCAGGTGCAGGCTGGGCCACGCCGCCATCTTTTTCGGTGTTTCTTTGGTGCTCTTCAGATCTCTCAAGGACGGACAGGGAGACATGAGATAGAATGGAACAGCTTGCGTTGAACAGCTTGCCCTTTCAACGCGACATTTCAAGCTAGCAGCGAGATGCAGCGAGTAAAAGTCATTGACTCATTATGACTCATTGGCCCGAAATCATGGAAGATAGGAAGATGTGACTTCACGGCCAATCCAAGTTTCCAATTGCTGTGGCCCCTTGGTCTCGCTTTGCCTCCACAGTGTCGATGCAATCACAATGGCATTTGCAATATTGAGGCCGCTGGCATCTAAATCCCATATCACAAAAGCCAGCGGCTTTCAAAAGCATTCCTTGGTAGCTACACTTTTTCACGAAATCTGCCCATGGCACATTGGTCTGTTGGATTGCCTCTACCAGCACGGGCCGCAGTCCGTTTGGCGCCGGTGTTGGTTCCACCGATTGATCTGAGCTTCTTTGCAGGGCTGGTGTTCATTGGATGTGGTGAGGCCGAATGCGTCATGATGTTCATTTGTTCATTTGCGCCAACCTTTGGGTGCCCTTTGTGATCTCAGCCTTCTTGGGGAGCCTCATGCGGCCTGGCACCACTCGATTGTACACTGGCACACTGGCCAATATACCCTCCATAAACGAGAGATAACGAGAGGTACCTGTGGCTGAGAATGGGTGAGATATTTTGAGATACCTTGATAGTGGTAAATGCATCTAAAATCCTCTAAACATGATCATCAGGTGAGATTTGGTCTACAGGTCCGAGAAATTCCGAGAAGAAATGGCTTTATACCGGTTAGACCTGTCCAATTGCTTTGCGAAACTTAATGTAAGTCTTCGCTATTGGATTCTAGTATACGCCCCCGCTTTGGGTTGAGTTGTGTGTGCCCATGGAATCTTTTTCTTTCCACCTCCTGTCCATTGTGACATATTCTGATGCTATGGGCTTCACGGGTATTCGCAAAGGTTTGCCACGCAATCCTGAGTCTTGCAAGGGGCATCAAGGGACCCTTGAGTTTCTTAACTTCATGTTCAGATTTGTTGAGCTCATTTGCTGCAATAGGTGCTTCGGGACTGCCCAAACTTTATGTGTCATTGCTCGATATTGCTTGTTGAGGCCGGGGCCACATTGACATGGATTTCACAGATGTACGAGGGCCGCCCGGGCCATCGCCGCGGCCAAAACTCTTCACATCTCTTCACCATGCTGACCCGAGCTGTCATGAGCCATCATGGCAGGAGCTGGATGTGAAGCTTGAAGAAGAGGCTTGTCGTTGGTTGGGTAGAAGTGAGTACAGTAATGACAATGACTCCGAAGCAGGTTTTCTCTGAATGAGATGGATGGAACATGTGTCATTGATGCTTTGATCAGCCGTTGTTGGAGACGCACCCGGAGAACACCGCCAAAAGACCGCAGTTTTATACGGTGTTCACGTCAACCACGGGCGACGGAAAGTGCTCCGAATCTGTGTTCGCCCGCCTTTGAGGTCAGGTCACTCAGAAGATCCTCGATGATATTAAGCCTAAAGAACGGAGGGGGTTGACCACACGACAGAATGCTCATTCCCGGAAAGTGAAAGTGACCTCCGGCAAAGGCCCAAAGAAAGTGATTTCCGGAAAGTGAACAAGAATTGGCGCAGAGACCACCTCCTGCTGCGACCGGCGCTTGATACAGTAGGTTTAAAAGCCCCTTTTTGACACCAAGGGTTCTTATGTTGACACATACCCTGTCTTAAAAGATGTGCGAATGCCACACGCTTTAGATGGGAGGTTGTGAATCACTCCATGAATCTCTCGTGTTGATGGTCATTGGAGTCATTTGAATCATTCGGACAGCTCTCCATGTCATCTCCGACTCCGCCAGGAGCAGCGCTTGGAAGCTCTGCGTCACGAACAGTGCGCACGGGAGGAGATGTTGGAGGCTCATGAAGTGCTGGTCCTGGAGCGGCAAAGAGCTTTGCAAGAGGAGGAGACTGGACGAATCGTGGGAAAAGGGGGGGGGGCGGGGAGACGATGCAAGGCAGAAAACTTTTGGGTGCGATAGGATTTTGCAGGGTGGTCGTAGTTGGACGTGGTCTTGTTGCGGATTTTGGCGTCTCTAATTGTATCATGACACACCTCATCATAGATGAACAGCGCATGGGATTTCAATTTTGACCTTTTTTTAAGCGGGCGGTTTTCCAAGTGTGTCCTACTTTCTTAAGGGAACACAACAGAAATCATAGCGTTGGGCTTTGCATAAGTCATAATTCAATCGAAGCCTTCACTCAGCCTTGCGTACCCGGTCCTCCACTCAGGACTTACTTTCTTCGGGGTCAATTCCGGATGCTTGCGGAGGCAGCTGCCGTTGAAGCGCCCAATGTTGCCAGCCTTTATTGTTTCATGCCAAGACGAGCGCAGCAGAGCCAGAAATGTTCTGGAGCGTCTCAACACTGTCCCCACCCGTGTGCTTCAGTTACATTTGAGATTGTCAAGAGCTTCCATTTTTTGGCATCAATTGACAAGGAGATCCGCAAAGCGACAACCTTATCTGATTCGATGCGTGAGGTGCACTTTGTGGCAATTGATGAACCCTATTGGTCGGCATCCTACCAGCTTACCTCTGGCCTGTTCAGTCCGGGGGAGAAAATCGTTGTTGGGGAGACTATAGTGAACCAGCGGAGGATGATTGGAGCGCATTGAAGCAGCTAGACCGACTACCCCCTGAGAAGCTGAGCAAGCAAACTATTCATTTTCTATAGTGCGCCGGTCTGATCGCAAGGATGTGCGGTATGATCTTTGTCTCTTACCATGAGAGTGAGGGCAAGACCAATTTGTTTCATAGAGTCCTTGGGCAAGTGCTGCTCGCCCTAACAAGAGAGAACAACGATTTGCCACCACTGGGGTTTGCCGTAGACTGTGGCCAGCCAACGACTTGATAATTTCAACGGGCTGTGGCCTCATCACGACGCCTGATCTGCGAGGCCCATTCTTGGACCAATGCTCTGTGGCACGGATTGAGGGTGTCCCCTACTTTCCTTTTGGGCAGCTTTGCTACCGCAACATTCCAGTGATGTTGTCAATGGTGATGTTGTCCATTGACACCCTACACCTCTTGAAGCGCTTCAGCTCACGCCACCAGAGTGCAACCCATACGATTTGGCGGGGCTCTTGCTATGTCGACTTCAGCACTTTGTTGGGAGGAGGGCCCACATCATGCATGCCTGACTGTGTTCTGAGCCACGCATGTTTTGCAACAGTTTGACTCTCTAACCGTTTAGAGAGTGATGTAGGTCATGGTTACTTTTAGGCTTTGCGGCTTTCAGACACTCCATGTAATCCCTTGAAATTTGTTCCAGGATTGGGGACCAGGGCGTTCACACTTCACGATCCCCGATCCGATGCAGAAAGCTTCAGCAGAATGAACCCTGCGTATTTGACCAACTCAAGTGATGCTTGCGGCCTTCATATTATGATGTTCGTGGGGGCGCTGGTGAGCTCTTGCACTGAAGGGAGCCGTGGCCTCAGCGTGACAATCATGGCAAGAAATGCGTTGCTAGCCTATTACCTTTTGCTGGCAAACCTGGCGCAGCTACAGGCCAAGCATGGGAAGGCCTGGTCTTCCAAGTTTCTGCCCTTGTGCACGATATGCAACATCGCAAAAGACCTGGCTGCTAACATCGGCTGTGCGCATTGCTTTGCGGAGAAGCAGTGTGAATATCACTTCAGCGGACTGAAGCGGGACTACACAGGGAAGCCTTCGATCAAATATGCAATCCTGTGGACGCAGAAGCGCCACCTCCAGCAAATGAAGTGGAAGCTGCCCCCACCCAGCTCGAGCACTTGCAACAATTTGTCGGATGAGGAACTTCGCAAAATTGCAGCGCAAGCTCCGCAAAATGCCAGCCGCTTTTTGTCTTGGATGACCCGTGGCAACCGGCCCCAAGACATTCGTGAGACCCTGTTCAACTGGTGGAAAGACGGGGGTTGTGATTTGTTGTCTCGAGGCAGCGCAGAAGAATGTGACCTTGATCCTCTCATAGAGAGGGAGATGCATGGCTGAAGTTGCTTTGCGTATCGGATATCGGTAAAAGTGTGCAGCTGTCTTTTTTGAAGTGCCCGAAGCTGTTGAGAGATTGTGAGAGTAGCTGGTAGGTTGAATCCTCTTCCCGGAATTTCTGCAGTCCCCGTGCCAAGGACGAGGGGGAAGCGGAGCCTATCACAGACGAAGTGGCAGGATCTGATGAGCACGCACGCCTGGATCAGCAGTATGGAAGATGTTTTGCGGGTGAAGCAGCGCATCCGAGACATGCTTGAAAGTGGCGACAGCTGCGTGGAGGATGCAGTGGACGCTGCCGCAGAGCTTGATGCGTCTTCAGTGAGTGCAGTTCCTGACCTTCTGGAGGCTCCTGCGCCTGTGCATGAGAATGGTGACGCCATGGGCATGATTTATGAATCCGTCGGCTCCCTCCCAGCTTTTTCACTTCAAAGCCCCTGCTTTTTCTTCGTCTGAAGCTTGTCTGGGTCGCCTTCAGCAGTTGCGCCGGCCGCTCGAGGAATTCGTCTTCGATGTGAGGCTACGAGAAGGCCATTATTTTCTTCTAGAACAATGCAAGATCCATCCATCCTCTTGGAATCTTGATGGCGCACGGGCTGGCAGAATGGATTCTTAGAAAAGCGTGCAGGCTGCTCTGCTGAGCTTGTCGAAGTGCCTTCTTACTTTTTATTGTGTTGTGGATTTAGGGTAGTATAGTAAGATGCAGCAAGAATTCCAATCGCAATGAGACATTCAGGAGCTGGAGCCTCGACAAATTGTTTTTTTACGTGAGCTCCGGGTGCATCAAGGCGACTCTTCATCGATCTCCTCCGGCCGACTGTCATTATCCACCGTCCGTTCAACCGGCTGTAAGATGCGGTAAATTATCACAGATAAGGCCACGTTCAATAGGCTTCAAGCAGAAGGGCTGCCTGAAAGTTATATATAGTCCGTGTTGCCCAAAAAGTTTGCACTGTACAGGTGGGCAAGGTCGGCTGTATCTACCGTGGCGCTGTGAGCCAGAAGGGGAGCAGGAGGATGCGAGCCTCGAAGCCCAGTGGTTGCCCATGGATCAGATTCATTCAGTTCGTGTTGTTGAGCTAGCGAAATGTTCAGCAAGGAAGTCTGGACACCTCTCAGCCCGGTGGTGATTTGGCGAAATACCATGTCACAGTTTTCTTTTCGCCTTGCCCCAAACCATTAAAGGCGATCGATGATCGCAGTAGCAGTCTGACTGCGTGTTTGATGCATTGACTGGCAAGATCTGGCAAGCGTGTTTGTTCAGGAGCTCTTGGATCCCATTGGCTCCATTTTGGTAGGTATCGCTCCGCAGCGGCAGTTTGCGAATGAGCCCATGATGTCCATCATCCAACTTTCACCTGCCGCAATAGATGCCCTAGCTGTGCTTCAAGAGAGGGGACTCTGTGTCCCCAGCAGAAGGTGGCGAAACCTTTGAGTCACATGGACTTGACCGCTCGGCTTCCGGTGCTGCATGCCTGGTGACATGGTTATCTGGTCTTCCGCGGTGCCTCGGACGCAAGCTAGAAACATCTAGAAACCATAGTCGCCAAGCGTGCTCTTAAAATTCTTGAGAGTCAGACTGACTGAGGCTATATGAAGAGAAGAAGATGTCTTTGCTCGACTCCGCTGGCCGAATCCGTTGTGGAGAGCAAAAGGTTCAGTGGCGCGAGATCTGCCAGCGGTCAGTTTCCTACTTTGATGATGTTGGGACTCTCGCAAAGTTTAGCACTTTTTGTGGCAAGCGTTCGCATACCTTCACCCCCCCTTGACTGTTTCAAATTCAAACCATTGGTCAGACCCAACCAACTACTCCACCTTACTTGCCCTTTCTGTTATGTGTTGGCTCTAGTATCCATCCTGAGGAAGAACCTTCAGGGGAGAGAGTTTGGCAAGGGCGTGATGAACCGGCTCCAAGACCTGCTGGCCGAGAAGGATACTTCGTGCAAAGAGGTGCAGGCGTTCGCACGGCAGGTGAAGAGACTTCCCCTCCCCTGTTCCTTAGCAGCAAACGTGTGCCCTCCAATGAAAGAAACAAGTTGCAACACCAATCGCCAATCACATCCAATGACTCGAGGCTTCCGGCCGCACAGTCAACTTCGTCGTGACGGTGGAGCTGGGGTTTCAACCGCTGGAATCAGCCCGTTCTCTACGGTCATCACAGTCGAAACATTATATTCATGGCGCTCCCAAAGAATGCGGTGGTTTTTGGAAGGGTTTGGAGTGGTGGACACACTTCAAGTCATATGGAACTTCTAGATTTCATCACTTGCTTAAATTCATTCAGGGCCTATTTGGCAACCTTCGATCTATTCACTCTTGCTGCTGCTATGGTCTCAGTAGCCCAAAACAGACAAGATAGGGCACAGGTGGAGGAGCGGCGAGGTATTGGGATGTTGGTATCATTAAGTCAACTGTCGTCCACTTAATAAAATGGTGAAAAATCGTCCACCAAAACTGCAATTATTTGTTGCAGATTTTACCTCGCAGCCAAGTTTTTTCGACCAAACCCACCCAAAAAGACATCGGTCCAACGGAGTGCGGAGCTTGACGGACTCTTGCGCAGGACAATGTCACAAAGCTGACAGGTGGAGCTGTCGAGCTGGTTGTCTTTTCGGTGTGTTGGATTGAGGTGTTGTGAAGCTGAACGTTAGGAATCCAGATGTCAAGTGTTTCAGGTCTGGCCTGGTGAAATTATAGGCCTTCATGTTGGGTAGGGTCACAACTAAATATGTCCCCAACCTGGTCCCTACCACCATTTTATATAGAACCCGTGGCAGGACCCCCTACCCAGTATATCCCAGTATTGTCGGCGGGATTCTATATGTATACCCGGAGTGACAAACCAATGGCTTTGGGCTTTTGGTCTCTAATCGAGTGGCCATGGGCCCCCCCTCCGCCAATAGGCACCCCTTTGTGACGCCTCGTCTGTACAATGTAGAAATCATTTGACGTCGCACAGTTGCCGACCACCGAGCTGTCGGGACTGCAAGCAACCCTATGGTGCAAATATTTGATCCTGCTCGTCGAGCTGTTAGTGCAGAAGCTGAGACGTCGACTTCCCAGAAAAAATCGAGCGAGCTGGCGCGCGTGCTGCCGCTGTCGTCCTCACTGATATAATTTCTGACCATTGTCCACATAACAAAAGTTGCGCGGTTGAATGGGTTTCAATTACATTCATGTATTTTTTGCCCATGCACTCCAGCGACACTGCTCCCAGCGCAGTGACAGCCCGTCACCATACCTCCTTGTTCCCTCCTAGCTTTCGCCACCTCCCCAGGCAACAAGTCTGGATAATGGGGGGGGAACCTTTCAATTGGATATTTTTGGACATCCCCACCCCTTTAAGATGGGGGGATCCAAAGAAACGGTTGGGAACAAGGGGCTCCTGGCCTTACTACTAGGACAGGAGCAAGAATAGGGGCTCCTGGCATCGCTACCAGAGCAAGGATGCTACTAGTAGCTACACTACTATAGCAAAAAGCTACTGGAGGCCATCGCTCTCCGGTGGGAACACGTTTGTCGGATCGGTCAGGTGCATTTTAGCACTTCGGATCGTGACGGCTCTTCAGCCACGGCTATTCAGCCACGCAGCCGCTGCAAACGCCTTCCGGGGCGGCCCAGGAGGAGCTCAACTTGCAGGCGCATGTCCAAGCACCCCCGGAAGCGGCGCAACTGAGCCTCTCTCGATGCCTCCAGCCACTTGGCCGATGTAAGCCAGCCCGTCAGGACATTGTAAGAGGGCCACAGCGCAAGGCCTTAATTACAGTTGCATGATGTAATGTTTGAACGTTGCACCACTTCTGAGCTGACTGGGCGGTCTATTGTGTAGTGTCTAGGATTTGTCCTAGAAAGCCCGATTCGGAGGATACTTCGTTCGGAAGAGGTAGGGACATGCATAAAGAAGTCAGGAGATCAAATACCGAACAAACGCGGCACGGTACTAGATGTTCCTGAGGACTTTGGGGTGTTGGCCTCCTTTTTGGCAGAAACCGACCCAGATCAAACGTGGTGTGTTCACTTGGTCCTCCATGAGATCCTTTCTTTCGGGGACCTGCTGGTGACCACCAGGAGCAATTTGTCCTTGCGAGTCCTGCAGCTGCTTTTGCTTGGAGGCCGCACCTCCACGGAGGCTTGGAGACGAACCCTGGTCTATCCAAGCCTTCTCTGTGGTGATGATCAGACGGAAAAGGGGAAAAAAGTCCGGGTTTGATGCTGAAGTGGGATGGCTGACAAGCATTCTATTTCAGCCCGTCGGTATAATATACTATTGTATTGTAACTACCATGAATAGCATCAAAGAATCCATGTGGTTTGAACCTGAGGTTCATTATTCAGTTCGGGATGTAGCACAAGAGCGGAAAAAAACTGAAACACAATTGGAAACAAATTCCAGCTTGCCGTACTGCATACCGTAGCATATTTGGGGGATGGAACAATAGCAAGCAGCATGACCGAAGCGTGTGGCAATTGGTGGATTCTTGTTGTTTCATGCATTTACTGTACATGTCATATATATATATATGCATTTACTGTACATGTCATATATTTATATATCCTCCATATTCTATTTGTCACCCTGGAATTTCCATATTCTATCTGCTTTTTGGGGCCTTAGGGTCTTAGGGTAAATATATTCGAACTGTACCCTAGTTTTTTTTGATTCTATCTGTCTGTCCATCACTGTGCATATATTGCACCCATTTTTGAGCAGATCGAAGACTGGTGTGAAAGCTATCGCGTTGTTTTGCCATTTCCTACTTGGTCTCGGCTTTTCCCCAAACTCAGTTCTACTAAATTTCCGGAGGACACACTTTTCGACTGTTGCAAAATGGTAATCCCAAGTCACCTTGGACACTTTGACCTGTGTTTTGTTTGTTGTGTCTTGATCCAAGAGCATCCAATCTCAAAATATGGGGAAATACAGAGACACACGTTGGAGCAGTTTGGAGCCGGAGGATTCACGGAGTGTGTGCTGCATCACAATGCCAAACCCCCCTCTAATCAGCCATCCCAACCCATGAGGTGAAACAGCACATTTGTAGCAATGAATCTTGCTTGGGACGTATGAGATCTGAAATGCCTCTAGTCTTTGTTAGATTTTACTGTATTTGTTTTTCTCCCCTCGAGTGACTCAAGTGTTTTTATAGGTTTCATTTGCTTCCCCATCTTTCAGTTTTGTTCCTTGGCAAACCGCAGGTGACACAAGTGCAACTGGGCGCCATCAAGAACGGCTCGGCCCTGGAGGAGTTGAGTGCGGACACCATGGATGATGACGCCGCTAGCCTGGCCGAGGTGGACCTCGGAAGAGGATGGGAGAAGCGTTGCCGATGGGAGAAAGTCTGACACCAAGAAAGCCCCAAAGAAAGGACACCGGCTAGATTCGGCTAGATTGCACTCCGATGCAATGTGTGTGTGTGTGTGTGTTTTTTTAGGGACATGTTGAGCATAGTTTTTTTGGGGGTGGAAACATCATGAACCCTCGTGTTTTGCTGAGCATGGTGCGGGTGAGCTACCAAGGCTTTCTACCCTACCGTGTTTAGACAAAAGGGAAGTGGCCAAGAACGTGCAGCACCGGAAGCAGCAGGTGACCAGCTGTGTCCAGAAATTCGCAGGGCAGCCGCGCCGCCAGCGCAGTACTCCCGACTCCCGGTGTCAGGTAGGAACTGGAACCCAGCATATATTGCTTATGTCTTTATGATGCCTGGCAGACAACCTGCAGATCGTGCCAGGTGATATCTTCAAGCAACCTGAAGATCATCCGGTGACTGGGCATGATTTCAAGGCGTGGTTTCGGTCATGCGCCACAGATCTCCACAGGAACGTTGCATCAAATCGAGAAGGTTCCTGGGTTAGTTTACCCCCCCACAGCAATTGAATCTTGTCAAGTGTTCATATGTAGAGTGTGTGGAGGGAAGATGGGGGAAGCAGGCTCAGTCAATGAATTGAATGGTGTCAGCGAAGCCATCCACACTGGGCTGAAGTCATTCGTCGGAAAGGACTTTTCTGGTTGAGGAAGATCACATAAGATCACCTCGGAGGAAGGTTGCTAGTTTTTTGGGACCAGTCCAATAATGCTGCCAATCAAACTGCTTGAAAGAGACCAGACTAGGCCGCTGTTCATGTACTCAACGTTTTTGTATCACATTGTCACTGATGTTTCATCCATAGCTGGATGACTGCAAAACTAAGTAGGTGGGAGGAGACATGTTGTTTGAATCATACGGGACGATTAGCGGGGAAGAGATAGGAGCAGGGAAGAGGTATATAATAGGAATTCCGCATTTTTGTTGATCAACGTCATTTTGCATGATGCTCGGTATATGTCAGTGTGGAACGCTGAGTTCATTCTTGCCAAAATGTTCCGATGGCTGCATGGTCCACGGTCTTGTTGAACTCATGCTCCGATGGCGTCATGTTGCCTCAGGTGCCGTTTCCACCAGCCAGAGTCGCTACGTGAGCTTTTCACATGCCAAAAGGGCTTGAAGGCACAGACTTCATTTTGTCATGCTCCTCTCTAATTATTAGTTGAGCCATATCCGCATCAGGGCAGTTTCATGATTGTATAAATCGATCAGGTCAGGTAGTAAAGTTTATGTATTTGACGGTCAGTTGAAGGGCTTCATGCTCGAGGGGCTCGGTGATCGTCAGGTAGGCCTGATGTCACTAGCAAAACAACCAGGCCCTTTCCTAACCGCACACGTTCGATTTCTGCTGCTTGGATGTTTTGCTGTCAGATCTATGTCACGACACGTGTCAGTATTCAAAGACTTGGCTATAGCGGCTGCACAACGGGACAGTAGATGTTTGTTTAAACATCAAACAAACTTAGGGACCTTTAGACCAGTGGTGACCATACTGTAGTCATTCCAGGTACAACCGTTTGCCGATTTCTCCTCCCTCCTTTGCCCTGCCCGACTTGGGTCGTGCGCAGGTCTTGGACCTGTCGTCCAGCCGTTTGACGGGCGCTGGCGGCGTTTGGTCGGAGCTACTGCTGCAGCCGCAGCCGGTGGCCGAAGAGCTGTGTTTGTCGAGCTGCGCGTTGAATCAAGTGGCTTGGAATGGGAGGATGGGATGGAGATGTTTGATAGATGATGGTAGATGAGCTATGATGAGCCTCAATATTCAATAGAGTGTAAATACCGAAGAAACCAATGCAAACTGTTTTGCATCTCCATACCCACTCTGTACTACACCTGCAAAGCAAATATTTTGCATGATGTGTTAAAGTCTGAGTCTGAGTCCATCTAAAAGAGTTTGCAGTTCATTACTGATTCGTCCGCCCCCAGTGCCTGACTTCTGTTGAAGTCACTCACAAACCCATGGCTACCAATCAAAAGGATTGGCTAGGGATTCAACGCTTCAACCCTTCAACCATTTTCAAGCTCCTAAACTTGAACCGTCTTCAACATTCTTCAACCATCTAAAGTCAGCATCTCCAACCGACCCATCGTGCCTTGCTCTTTGAAAGACTCAGTGGTTGGATGTGTCCACCTGAGGATGATGCAATGGAATTGGCCAAGGGCTTGGCTTCCAACGCGTGGCTTTTAAAGCTCTCCTTGCGGCGAAACAGCTTTGAGCAGCCAAGTTGGGAGGTGTGAGGGGTTTGAGGGTTGTGCGGCTTGTGGTTTGCCAAAAACATCTCCAAAGATCTTGAGGCTGAGTTGGGTTTCCAAAGATGCCTTCTGAAGTCCAGGATGACAACGGGACCATCCTTACCCGAATGGGATGAGGCTTATTCGACATGTTTTTCCTAGTCTATCCCGGAGATGGTGCATAGAAGGAGAAATGACATGGACTTATGGGAAACCTCGTGGCATAAGTACTTATATGGCGAAACTAAGGGGCCTCACGGCCTCCTAGCGGAAACGAGCTCACAGAATGTGCAAGTCCTTTACTACACTACATGATGCCCGATTTCTGGTTGGCAAATGGTTCGGCACCAATATTGTTCATCGCCGCCCTGTGCTTAGCAGGTTTGGTATAAGTGCCTTGCGCAAAACACGCAAAAAGAAGCCTGCACACGCAAAAACGCATTGATTCAGCACCATCGGCGGCTAGTAGCTCCGACCGATTCTCGATTCATGCAGCCCACTTCTTGAGCCTTGTCAAGGCCTTGGCGAAAGCGATGGAAACCAACGGCACTTTGGAAGACCTGGATTTGGTTGAAACTGGTCTGAACGATCAAAGCTTCGCAGTATTGGCAGGCGGGGTTGGTTAGGACTTCAGGCCCCAAGTTCAATAACATCTCCTGAAAACATTTGCTGAAGCGTAAGCGTAACGCGGATCGTATATGAACTTTTGGACACAACGAACGCGTTCAAATGCTACAGACTCGCCAAAGAATGCTCCGTACACTCCAGGCAGCTTGAAATTCAACAAATCTCTCAGACGATTGGAATTCTCTGGCGACATCGCAGATGCGAAGATTGGATGCAAAAGTCGGGGCCAAGGGGTCAAATCTGTGACGTCTTTTGGCACCTTGGGGGGACGAAATATATAAGAAGGCATGCCTCAAGTAATGACTTCAGTGCAGCAGGCCGAGGAAAGTTACTTCACGCATTCTGATTTGGGGAGGGTTTCGGCTTTGCTTACCCACCACGAATAGTTTGACATGTTTTCCTTTGATTTGGAGAGCACCTGAGCGAATGCCGAGCACCTGAGCGATTTCGACCATTCGAGGACCATGCTGGCGGAGCTGCTGGCGGTGAATGTCTCTCTGCGAGAGATCGAATCAGCCGGGGATTTATTCACCGGAAAGGGTGTCGAGAAGCTCAGCTAGTTAATCAATTGTTCTATGTTGTTTTTGGCTTGTCCTATCCTGGCATTGACCTGAGAAAGTGTGATGATTATGGAGAGAGGGCGATGATGTGGATGATGTGGATGGTGATGACGACGATGATGATGAGGAGGAGGAGGAGGATTGTGCTATAATTTGGTGTGTAATCAATGTATAATCCGTATAAGGCGTGGACACATGTTCCTAGCTTGACAGCTGTAGAGCCATCAAACTCGGTGGATCACCAAGTCTAGCACATCCAACCAGTGTTGGCCACGCATATCGCAACTGCGCATATCGTTTGCTAAATCTACACTCCAAGAAATTATCCCATAGTGTATAACTATAGCAACCCCCTTCTACATCTACCAGCACGTGGAGAGTCCAACTTCTTTCTTGGCGCCAAGGATGTTGCTGTCATCCTTGGAAACCAATAGCTTCCTCAGCTTCTCGGCGTTTTACCTGGGCGAACGCTTCCCGAAAACAATCGAACGAACGCGTTTCATCGTTTTCACACGACCAGGATCATACCCAAGCCAGTCAAGGAGCCATCCCCGGCTGCGAGCTTTTGATGTACTTGTCGGGTCAAAGTTTGGGGAGGCGAAGATTGGCCAAGGCTCCTTCACCTTGGAGCACACCCAGCCGCGGAAGTTCAAGAAGGAGTCCCAATTAGGTAGCTTGATGGAGCTTTGTATGCCTTGCTCTTGCTGGTGTCACCGGGTTCCTACCAAAGCGAACCAAATGCATATTGGAGAATGTGTGTTTAGGGTTTAAGGTTTTAATGTTGGATCTTAAATAGTAAAAGCACTACCGCCTAGCAAACAATCGAAGGAGTCTGAACAGAAGCACGGCGACGAACATAATTACAGTATCAGTAGCATAGTAGTCGTCGTCGTCGTCGTCGTCGTCGTCGTCGTCGTCGCAGAAGCAGCAGTAGTAGCAGCAGTAGCAGCAGTAGCGGTACTGGTAGGATCTGGTAGGTAGTCATTCTAGTTAAGTAAGGAATTTAAAGGGCAACAATAGCAGAAGCATAGACAAATCGGGGCCTCTTTTAAAACACCCTGGGTGAAAACATGTTGTGTTATTCCCTCCCATTAAACTATTCAGGGTGTGGGAATAAGTTGGCGAACACTTGTTATATCTTGTTATTATTCCCTCCCATTATACGAATTTGGATCCGACATTAGTAATCGTGGGGTTGAAGGGTCCAACTTGTGAGGTTATAGGTAGTTCCATACCAACAACCGCAGCAGCAACAACTGGACTTTCTGTTGAATGCAAGCAGTGTTGGCGGACAGGCTGAATCTCAGGCAGCTCAGGATTCAAACATATTGGCAATCGTCATGTTTTTTGGTTTTATGCTTAGGCTTGCATTGCTGATTCGATCTGCTTTGCACTCAATGATTTGCATTTGGAGGCCATTACCTGCTGTAGACTGTAGAAAATTGTGAAAATAAGGAGTTATCAAGGGCGGGTCCAACTTTAAGATGGATGGGAAATACCAGAGAAACACATATCATGTAGGTATATGATGAATCTCAACAAAGCAGAAACGCTGGGCGTTTGCTTCACGCCCTTCCGTTTGCTTCATGCAGGATAAGGCGGACTACAAGTTGTACGAGGCTTCTTTGAAGACCATCGAATGGCTGGTGGCACGGAATGAGCACCCAGCATGGGTTCTGAATTCCAGCTTTCAGAAAGGCAATGAGGTCCTGGTATGCCTCAGGACTCTAGGAGGTGGGAGGGTGACATAAACTGCATGTTCTCATGTTCTGCTTGTTTTGCAACGCTCACTGAAACCAATTCTTCGGCAGGGTTTGTGATAGTTGGGGCTTTCCAAAATCTCATGGTTGCGGCTATTGATGAAAACATCTCGACGGCAACCCTGATGTTCCTTTTTTCTCCCTGTTATGGGTTAGAGCCTTTCCATCCCTGAGGTGAATCGGTCCTTGAGCTTCAAGTTGGAGAAGATGAGACGGTGGCAAAGCTCATCCGCCTGGTTTATGAGCGTTTGGGCTATCTCCGCCCCTTGAGGCTCATGTTCGCTGATGGCCGGTTCTGGTAAGAGGCAGCCACCTCAACTTCGGTGGAATGGATTTGCTCCGCGGCCTCTGCAGGATATGTGACTGCCTGAGTGACTTTTACCCTTGAGAGCGACCTCACGAGAAGTTGCCAGGACTCAGCGCTCGCCAACTCTGCTTCGGTGTCAAGAAGTTTCAAACGCCACCTGTGCGTGCTGACGTGGACATGTTAAGGAAAAATATGGAAACATCGAATGGCGGCGATAGCTTTGGCCGCTGTCCCGAGTGTTCGTTGTTGAATGTTAGCTAGAGTCGCGGGATCTGTTGACAGTGAGTGAAGAAGAGGTGGTGTCCAAACCAATAGCCGATAGTATCTAGAATCTAGCCGTAGCCATTGGAACACGGTATACTGCATAAGGTTTGGCAAAGGCTGCTGCTAGACATGTTGGTTGGGTTTGTCCTATTACCTGTAACAGTCAGTAAATAACTATATATAGGATTATATAGGGTATAGCCCATTACCAGAAACGGTCGGTAAAATACTATCACTATTTTTAATCAAGGCCTTTGTTTGCTAACCGTCATCATCCATTGATGGTGATTCCCTTGAGGTTCGATCCGCTGAGACGTGCGGGCTGTGCAGGCCGTGTAGTCCGCCGACACCGTGAGGGTTGGGTTGGATGGCGAAGGTGGTACTTGAACGCAGATATGGCATGAAATAGCTCAGATTTGCGGTGTCCAAGACAGCTCTCTCACTTGTTGATGTTTCAGGCATCTTCAGGCCTTCATGTCCAGCAAGTCGTGGAACCCTGTTCCGTGCTTCTTTTAAAGGGCGCTGATGTGAATGGACAGGCCCTTTAAAGACTGGCAGTCTCAGTTCCCATGCTCCATGCCTTGAGCTGAGACTTGCTTTTGATGATGACAATAATAAGCTGAATCTTGTCCACCAAGCCTACAACGTCTACTACCAGTTTAGTTTCTCCTTTGGGCATCAGATGCCTTGTTCGCGAGCAGTGAGCACCACCGGAAGAGTTGCCACCAACATCCACCAACAACCAAAAGCAACACTCCGCAGGGCGGCTGAAGCCACTGGCTGGCCTCTCCGGCCCCTTGCGTCCGAATGGACTCTTTCAAGCTGAAAGGTTGGGTGATCCATGTTGGGTTTCTCAAGCTGAAAGAATCGCAGCGATGACACGCTGAAGACAGAAACCCACCAAAGCAGGTCCTGGGCGCCCGTGCCGTCGCATGGAAGGCTGGCGGCTGGGTCGATGCAAAACGCGGGACGTGCTTCAGGAAGCCCTTTTGCGCTGGTAGTACGGGTGAAACACGGACCGACCAACCAACCAACCAACCAACCATCCAATCCAATCCCAGACCAGCGGATTCCAAACTGACAACCCACGGAGGGATACAGACCTGTTGTCCCCCCGCAAAGTGGCTAAACAGGGTGGCTTTTGGACACCGGTTGGGGATCACGGACTTTCATGTGCCTTCTGGGCCGGAGCTCCCAGAATTCTAGTGGAAAACTAGAAAATACTTGGATCGAGGTTTTCTCGGAAACTTGTCAGCTTCACCATCGTATGGAATCAGAAGGGGCGTAATCCAACAGGCTGCAGGCCACAAAGGCTCAATGTTGCTCATCATGGCATTGCACGTTTGGATGGAGATGTGCTGTGCCCGTGCTGCCCCCCTCCTGCCAAAAGATTTGAAGAATATCTTTATGCAATGTTCTTTCCAAAGCTTTTTTAGTGATGCTTCAAAAGCAGCAAGGTTTAGATGCAGCCCGCAGTGGAGATGGATGCCAGGACGCTGTGCGAGGCATCGTTGGGCAGCCGTGTACCTGTTGAACATGGCCAAACGGCTAAGTATGTGTACCTGTTGAACTAACCTGAATTTACAGTATTCACTAATAATTAGTATCGATCTGTCACATCTCACTTCTTTCCATGTTCTTGGGTTGGTTTCCTCCATCCCAACCGATTGGGTTGTGATGCCACTGCCCCCTCACACTTCCGCTGCCAAGCCCGTTTCAGGGGCGCAGCTGTCACACGTGGGGCCTCCAGCAAGTCCAACGTCAAGGATCAGGAGAAGGAGGACTAGCAGGGGTCCAGATACTCGCGGATTCTAGGCTAGCCTTCTAGTGCAGATGCTTGAAAAACATCCACTATCCAGTCACATGAACCTCCCTCTTTGGCAAGTCAGATGTGGCATATATTTGTGGCCGTTGGGCTCCTTCGTTGAAACAAGGCCACACCAGGTTTCCAATCCAGGAGCTCTACAGACAAAGCAACTTGGCAAGCAGACCAAGAGAACGCTTGTGCAAAATCTCCACTTCACAGCAACGAGGAGACTTAAATGTCCCATACAGTTTGGCCATGTTTGGCAATGCTTGGCCAAAGAAGATATCATCTCCAAAGGTTTTTGGCACCGCCAGGCGGGGCTAAGTCCCTTTGTTGCAGGTATGACCCTGGCAGGAAGCCTTTCCATGCCAATTCTTGTACTAACATTCATGTGGATGATTCTTGATGAGCAAAACCCCCCATTTGGATGGCAAAGCCATGCAAAACCTTTCCATATGGAAGTTTTGTTAATCAAGAGTCTACATTATGCACCTTCGTGGTGCAGGATTGTTGTCCCCACCCCTCCTGGTGGAAGGAATCTTGTGGGGGGATGTGGGCAGGATTCGATTTTGTTCCAGCCAATATCCCATTTCAATTGATGGATCAATATTGATGGGTCAACAGAATCAATACTGTAGAGACTTCAAGTCAGCCAGCTTTCAATACCATTACATTAGATTTTTGTGTCTATGTCTATTTATTGAATGCGAACAAAAGTAGTATGTTACGAAAGCCAGCCTTCGTAGAAGGCGCTAGCGGAGTTGTGTCTGGCGAACGAAGTGAGTAGTTAGGGGGTCTGGGGGGGTGGCCCGAGAAAGGTACACGTCAACTCGGCACATGCTGGGGGAGGAGGGTGCTCCGAGGGAAGGTTTTTTGAGGTTGTGTTGGAGGTGATTTTTGAGGGGTGGTGATGCAAGAAATGCCAAATGCATCATTTGCATCATCTGAATGGAAAGGTGTAGTTGGCACCTTGCAAGGTATAGAGACCTAGGGTAGCCATAGTGCAGCTACCAGGTATAGTACTTCAAGTTGCCTTTCCGTCAACCGCTTGAGAACCTCTACACACGCACAGCAATCCACAGCTTTGAAGTCTCATTCGTGCTTTCAACTTGTATAGGTGTGTAAGAGGTATAGCAACATAGTATTTATACGGACCCAGGGTAGCTACAAGTAGCTACAGTTCTGTTCCCGGGTATGGCGCGCATGAGGCTTCAAAGCTGTGGTTTTCAAGCTAAATTCAAGGTCGCCTGAGACCAGGGTTTGCTGCCCTAAAACACTCTGTTCAGGCCACCTTGAAAATAAAGGTCTTGTAGCTACAATTCTGTTCCCAGGTATGGCGCGCATGAGGCTTCAAAGCTGTGGCTTTCAAGCTAAATTCAAGGTGGCCTGAGACCAGGTTCAGGCCACCTTGAAAATAAAGGTGTAGTTGGCACCTTGCCAGGTATAGAGACCCAAGGTAGCTATGTAGCTGTGGCTTTCAAGCTAAATTCAAGGTGGCCTGAGACCACGGTTTGCTGCCCTAAAACACTCTGTTCAGGCCACCTTGAAAATAAAGGTGTAGTTGGCACCTTGCTAGGTTTTGAGACCCAGGGTAGCTATAGTGCAGCTACCAGGTATAGTACTTCAAGTTCCCTTTCCGTCAACCGCTCGATAGCCTCTACACACGCACAGCAATCCACAGTGTGCAAGTCTCATTCGTGCTTTGAACTTGTGTAGGTGTGTAAGAGGTATAGCAACATAGTATTTATACGGACCCAGGCTAGCTTCAGAAGAGCACTCCGATACTTCACTTACAGCGCTCCTTGAAGAGCATGAGTCGCTTGCGCATAGCCACCAGAAACAAAGGATCTTAGTCTTACTGGAAGTGGAATGAAACACCAGGACCTTCAGAATGACCTCTTTGGAGTCTCCAAGTGACCTCATTCGGGACTAAGTGACTAAGTGACCTCATTCTGGGATCTCGGACGGTCACTTTGAAGGTCCTGGTAGACACCAAATGATGTCAATGTGGATAGATTTGGCTACGGCCTAAAACATCGGATTCCATCCAAACCCCCCCCTGTGCAGAGGAAAAATCCGGGCAAAATGACACCGAACCCCTCAATTGCCAGGAAGCGCAGGTTTTTGTTTTGACATGGTTACCTCTGTGTGGGCAGAACAAGACATGAAGCAGATTTGACACGCGGCCGCAAGCAGCTGCGCGAGCTCATTTGCTTGCTTCGACGCGCAGTTGTCGAGAAAGGGAAGCGCCGGCTTTCGTTTTGCAGCTTCTCAGGTATGATTCTTGGGCATTGGTTTGCTGTTCTTTGATTTTCTCTCTCCGTCAGTGGTGCTTGCTCTTTTGGGCGTTTGCTTTAGCCTATCCGATCCTTCAGACCCATGGCTGGAAGAAACCGCCGCGAAACCACCGCTCTCCCCGGTGGGGCGGACCGGGCTCAGGGCTCATCGGCTTCGTGATCATCGTGGCCTGGCAGGCGCAGCGAGACAACTAACACGTCGGAACGGAGGTGAACTCCACGTGGGAGGGGTGGAGTAGGATCTGGTTTCTCGACCTTTTCAACAGACTCTCTGGATTCCGCTTCCTAGTGTCCACAACCCAAGTAAGAGGTCCAAAACCAGCTGCTGGAAGATCCTGAATATGAGCTTCAAAGCAACAGTGTCTGTACTGTATAGCCTTGCTATGCTTTGTTGCTCTCTAGACTCTAGATTATATTAGAATTGATGGCCGCCCTTATGGTAGACATAGGTAAGTTATGGCGGGTTCTAACCTTTGACTATCACTACATCCAGAAGCGACTCAAGTCGGATTTGACCACTCAAACCCGAACAACCCGTCCAACCCCAAGCATTCAACCTCCTAAAGTTACTCGCTTGGTCTATACCGCCTTTGCCGTTCCCATTCCTTCCATCCAAATTGATCGCCTTCCCGACCGCGGCGATGGTGATGTGCAGGTGGTAGCAATCAACCTCTACTCTTTAGATGATTGGTCCAAAGCGACCTTTTTCGTGATGCTCGGTGGGCCAAACCTCGGAGGCTTCTGAGGCGGCGACCGACCCGGGCGACCGACGTTTCGCCGGTCGTTGGGCCAACCTGCAAGAACCACTTCTAAGAAAAGGTCGGGCAACCACGAGGCCGCGAGGCCACGAGTCACGAGGTGGAACTTGTATTTATCCCTAAGGGTCCAGGACCATCCTGAGGATGGTCATAAACAGCTTATACACATGATATACATGGATGTTTTTTGATCCGGGACCTTCTCAACTGCCTGAAGATGATCCTCATTCACACAGTTTGGCTGGTCAGTGTACACATATATAACGTTTGTCATGACGTTTGTGATTCCTATTCATAGGTGCCAATTGAGATTAATTAAGGTTTGACTGCAGACCGTGACTTATTCAATTCAACTGTTGCTTCCAAGTTGTTCATCAATATCTGACAGATTCTTTGCTGTAAGCATCTCATGATGTCCCACACCGACGATGATATCATTGGCCACATGGATGTGAATCCCGTGCCTTCCTTTGGTTGCTCCAATGCCGTCACGGAATTCCTACAGTGTTGCCCACCAATCCATTGACTTCATGCATTGTGCTCTTCGAAGAGCAGCTGTTTTTGACCACAAGGTGAGTGTGCACCACAAGGTCACGTCACGAGTGAGGACGCGCTGCGCCCTGCGCGTTCCCCAACGCCCAGGAGAGATGGTAGTTACACCTTTCTCGCATCGATGATCTATGCCTGCTTCGGAGCCTTGACTGGGCAGGAGAACAGCCTCGGTGATGGAGATGCATGGACAAATTTTGTCTGGAGATCAATGATATTCGCTGATAGATGTGACAATCTGAAAGGAATATCAGAACAGGGTCATGAGTCATTGTTGCCAAATGTTCCTTTTGTTGAGTCGATCTGAATGCGTAGGGCTTCAGGACCATTCAGGACCCCATCGATGGCGCCAAGTGATATGCCCCAAACAAAGCCCAAACTGACTAACCATCACTCATTGCATTGAGTGTAGATGCGAGTTGAAGACATCCAACATGAAGAGTTTATAAAACGCATTTGCCATCATATACCGATTTCTCTGTTCGGTCTTTGCTACGTGCAACAGGTGCTGGACTTCCCAGACCTTTCACTTTCGGGTGCCAGGGTGTCTACACCCAGACACCTGGAATTCTCAACGAAACGCCTGGGTGGGATGGTTCACATCGTGTCTTTGGCCTCAATCTGCGACACCGAGGCCTCTTCGTCATTCTCTTGCGCATTTTGCCACGACGCTTGGTGATGCCACGAAGATTGGCCTGGCATGTGCTGGTTCCTCGGCGGGAAGGAGACGGGTGACGCTTTTGATCGGCATCCGTGTGGCGAGACGGGTGAGTTCAGACTCCACGCGCATCGAAGGACTCGTGGCCTAACACGGGTCGTTTGAGGAAACTTGTTGCCAGTATCGACTAGGACGCTTGGCTGGTCAAAAAGCAGCCGTGGGCCTAAACATTAAACAGTCTGTTGCTGCGCTGTTTGTGTAGCGCTTCAAACGCTTGAGGTGAGATACACCCTCACTCGTGGCTGCCCAGAGTGGTACAGGCTGGGGATGGTGCTCCGGTCAGGGCTCGCAGAGCTCCATCCAACCGGGTCACCTTTTTTTTTCCGGGAAATGCGCCCTGTAGATACACAGTATTGTTTTTGCAAAGAAGTTGCACCAGCCTTGCAGAAGGAAGCCTTGAAGAAGAGACCTCCGAACGTTCCTTGCATCCTGAACGAGTTTGTGGATCATCGGGAATTTGGTGGCAGTGCAAATCTGGCCGGGCCTGATCTGTGGTCATGGAAAATGGCAGGCCGTTTGCATCACAGACCATCGCGAAGTGGATTGACAATTCCGTAACTGTGGTGCGGAACTCAGCTCCACCTTTCCCTACAAGTCAAAGGTCTCCTAGTAGAACCCTTTTATTCTGGACCTAGTGCCTTGTGGTAGAAAAAGTCGACCAGGTGATAAATGAGGTAAGGCCCCGAAAACCTTTTTGTATTCCATTGCAACAGGCCCCAATGTTTGTCGACCATCTTCGTGTCAACCAGATGGACATTTAAGGAAACACATGGAAGGTGGAACAATATACTGTATATCCATTTAATCACGAAAGCTAGCCTTAGCTAGCTGGAGTTGCTCTTGCTTTAGCAAGTTAAGTGACGGGGTGGACGCACCTCAGAAACCTCAAATAATTGATTAAATCAATCTTATGGCCCCCCCCCCCCCGCGGTTCGACTCCCCCCTGCGCGCGGTTGGTATGCTGCTGCTGCTGCTGCTGCTGCTGCTGCCGCTGGGTGGTCTGCTGCTGCTGCTGCCGCTGCTGCTGCCGCTGCGCTGGGCGCTGCTGCGCTGGGTGGTCTGCTGCTGCTGCTGCTGCTGCTGCTCTGGGTCTGCTGCTTCTGCTGCTGCTGCTCCTTTGTGGTTTGCTGCAGCTGCTTGGTGGTAGACTGCAGATGCTTGGTGTGCTGTAGCAGCGCCGCAGCAGCAGCAGCAGAGCACCCACCGCCGCAGCAGCAGCAGCAGCAGACCACCCAGCGCCAGCAGCAGCAGCAGCAGACGACCCGGCGCCAGCAGAGCACCCAGCGCAGCAGCGCCCATCCCTGACGACCAGACTCTCGTTCACCCCCTGGCTAGCTTTCGTTCACCCCCTCTGGCCTCAAGTTCAGGAACACATTCCCAGCTGTTACAGGACAGGCTTCGTTTCGACCCTTTTCAACCAGGGTTCGAGACCTTTGTTGCGATGGAACAGCACTTTGCTTCGCGTTTCTGTCGCCGCTCCGCCGAGTTCTACATCACCTGGGCCAGTCGCTTCGTTTGCCGGGCATTGCCCTGGATCTTGGAGCGGAGTGGGGTCGTTTGTGGAAGAAATGTGTTGCTACTCGCTACATCTCGCTTCTGCTGCAGTAGTGGGGGAATTGTGACTCGCTTACATTCACAAATGCAAAGGAATGGAGAAACCAACCTTGAGGTGGAATTATGATTTTATTGATTCAGATAGTGAGGAGTCTGCCGAGCTGCTTCTTCCTTTCGAAAGTTTTGCTGACCCTCAGAAAAACTCTATACTGTAAATTTATACCAGGACCCTCCAAGGGGTGCCCAATGGAAGCCTATAGGTAGTGTGGGTAATAGTCCATTGGACACCCCTTGGAGGGTCCAGGTATATTATATATTTATATGGTCAGACCTCTGCAAAGAACCCCCTTCAAGGAGCCCCCACATTTGAACTAGTACCACAGAACGAGCAGTCCGCTTGCCCGCTTGCCTCGCTGGCAGGAGGCAACCAGCTTCCTTCTGCCCTTTTCTCCTGGGCGCTTGTGGTCACTCGGCCGCCAAGGGGGGCCTTGTGGAAGGAAACAATCATAATGATTATATAAGAAAGTAAAAGCAAAGAAACAACGCGTATCCCATGCAACAACAAACCACAGGGTACCTACGGGTCACGTGTGTGTATTTTTTGTGTCGAGCTGGCTCAGTCAGGTCTGCGTCCAATGCCCAGACGCGGACCTTGGTCTATGATACGCTGGTGGCCTTCTCTCGCACCTCGGCCATGGGCCTTGGCCATTTCGATGAGTTGAAGAGCCCTTCCTTTGCTGGTCACTTGGGTGGTCCCAGTCGCGAAGTTGGTAGACCAACCAGAGCCCGAGGCCTCGGTTTGCAAGGAACCCCGGTTTTGCTTGCTTGTGTGGTGGCCTGGTCCTGTTGTCATGTTCAGCATGAGTGGTCACACAAGGAAGAGTTGGGAGCTGTGCCCAGGAAAGTTGATGTGGGCTTGCCTCCTAGCGCTGTCAGCCCTGCTGCTGCTGAATCTCAAGGAGAGACCGCAGAGCTACTTGGGTTCAGGTATGTTCAGGTGGTTTACCGAACAATGATGAACTTCAGTTGTTACGCGCATATAACTATAATGTTGGTTGGGCAACACCGGCATCCTGAAAGTAGAAAGAACTTGACCATCCAACACCAATGGGAAGAACCTCATGTGGTCTGTAGTTCCAAACGGTTGGACAGTGCGAAAGTTCCTATGCTCCCTTGCTGTGGCTTGAGCCAAAACACATATGCATACATACTCTAATGCCTTTGTTCTTAGCATACTCCAGTTCCAAGTGCCTGGAGAGTTGCAGGATCCCAACCTCTCGGCAGCTCAAATCCCCATGGAAGAGCAGGAAGCCGTGTGGCTTGGACCGGAGCAACCGGATCCCCCGACCGTGGGCTGGACCGGCGCCGTGACCGGAGTGACCGTCAGGCACGCACGACGGGTAAGAGTACCTGAGAAAAGATCAACACAGAGGAAAACCATGGAACACATTGGAAAACTAGGGTTCACGTTTGTGTTTAAATACACAATATATACTGTACTGTATATATATATTTATTTATATTGGTCGTATAATATATAGTATGCGCAAAAAATATTGCTTTTCAAGGAGTCAACTCCCTTTGAACTTTGGGTCGCAGGGAAAAGCTGTAAATGGTTGGGTGCACGGTCATGGAAGCCTGGAAGGTGTTCAAAGCCCGTACAAAGAAAGTCTCCATAAACCCAAGGTTGCTTCCTTGGGGTAGACACCATGTGACACCCTCGACCACCATCACATGTGCAAGCCACAGTAGCTTACGTTGTGCTTTTTGTTCATTTACTGCCTGTGTAACTTGGAGACTAACTTGGAGTTGGAGTTCCATGTTGCTGTAAAGAATGAGTAACCAACACTGGAAATGCTCAGGAAAGGGGCATCTTTGTTCCCATGGAGGCCAGCGGAGTTGCAAGTCTTCGCGCGTGGTAATGGATTTGCAAAGCATCAGCATCAATTTGGTGAAACTTTGGGTGCTTTTGTAGTAGTAAAGGTGATGCCAGGTTGGCGGCTTATGTCATTGAAACAGTGCTGCAAAAGGGCAACCGTTGTAACTCAGACTTCCCAGACGTTTTCTTTTTGTCTCTCTCCTGGGCAAGCACCCGAGAAATTCAGAAAGAGAGAGGGAGAGAGAGCGAAGCGTTGAAGTGCTCTTGAGGACCAGGGATTCTGCAGCCTTCGATTTTTTGTGCTCGGGCACATGATGCAGCCCACTCAAATGGAATCTGCGCCTCCCTACCGAGATTTATGGACAATGAATGTTGAACTATTCCAAGATCAAATGGCACCATCCCTGAGCTATAAGCCAAACCCTGACACTAAATGCCCAGATCAACCAACTTCTTTCCAGAAACTTCCTCCAACACCAGCTACTGGATCAACCGTCCATCACCTCTCGATGCCTCAACCGGCGGTTCGCGGTTCTCCTTGCGCTCGCGGTTCCCTCTTGAGGCCGTTGGTGTGGTTGCTGGCCATGCGGGCGAGGCCACGGCTGCGGACCTCCAACATGCGGCTACTCTTGGCACCCTCGGCTGACACATAAGCCACACACAGACGACGCCATTCGGATGGAGACTCTTGGGATTTGATTTGGCAATTGTACTGAAAAGGGTTATCGGTTAGTGGAGATGAAACATCATGAATAGGAGTGGCTTGAGTCAGGACATATCAGGATATTTATATTCTCCACTCACTTGAGAGTTACCATGCCACACGCACCCTTGCAATTCAAGATTGGATCCCTGAAGCCACAGTTTGAGAGCGGGGCCCCATACCGAGCATTGGATTCCATGAAACTTAAAAATCTAGAATGGTTTAGGGCCGGGGCCTCAGCTGTTACAAGAGTCTTCTTCGGTTTGTGCCATTTGCCCGGGTCATTTGCGCTTACAGTATGTAGCCACACATAGCCACACCATTTCGGGTGGCATTTATGGGTGGTGAGTGCTTGACTGTAAAGTCAACACTTCGGAGGTCTCTGGTGGTTGGCACTGCCATGGCTTTAGGCTTTAGGAGTTCTGTTTGGGTCCCGAGGTGTGCCAATATGCTGCATATCCGAGTAGGTGGATTTGTTTTAGGGACTCACATCATTGCTCAGAAAGTGGTGAGACGCTGAGCTGTAAAATGATGAACTATTTCTTCCACTGTTAGTGTTCTTTGAGTCTGCAGGCTGTTCAACAGAGCACTCCCTTTGGCGGTTCTTTCGTGCCGAAGTCCAGGTTCCTAGTGATGTGGGTTTCAAGAAGCCTGCAGCTGGTTGCCACACCCGATCCAAGGCAGACAAGTGCCTGACCTGCGCAATCTACATTTGCTTGATCTCAGTCACTTGCCTACCTAGGCTCGGTGTTGGGACAGAGACAAACATGAACTCATTACACATAAAGTAGCACCTTTCAAGCATCTCCGCACGGAAGAGAGGAAGGAGTTTCTCGGAAATCAATGTGCTCCTCGGCGAGCTAACCGTTGCACACAAAGCAGCCGACCGTGTCAACATGCATGCTCATTGAACTCCTGAAGAAGCAAAACCCAAGGCGGCCAGAAGCCGTTGACATCCCAAAAAATGTACCCCCACAAGAGGTTCAATTTAGAAATCTTCAAAGACACCCATCATCGCTTGGAAGGACTTAATTCATCAAGATCCATTATTAAGAGCAACCCCAAGCTAAGCACTTGCTGGAAGGGCTACAATGTTTGTTTCGGGAGCCTGAACCATCAGGCTGAGGACCCCTCCCTCATTTCACAGAAGCTGTAGCACTGTAGCAGTCAGGACCCTGCCAAAGGAACAATAGAAAACAGCGCTTCCAAGAATACTATGCGGGTATGTAAACATTCTATTCACGGACAGGTCCCCAGTTGTTCCCAGTTTGTTTACAATTGGTTGCATACATACGTTGAGAAAAGATGCCTGGGTCTATATTTGATTGGGATAATGGTCAAACATAAGATCCTGTCCAGGCCCAGTGCAATCCTTTCATACACCTTGCTTTTTGAGTCCTCAAATTGTTGGTTGAGTTCGGAGGCATGTTTTCCCAGCGTGGAATTTCTCCCAGAACGGAAATCCACCAGACACTATAGGCCTTTGACGTGCTGGTAATTTGAGCATACACTCTGTGGCAGTGTGGTGTGATAAATAGCTATAGCAACTATAGTAAGCAAGCTTGAACGCGGTTCCTCACGAGCTTGTGCCAGCTCTTGCTTGAGACAAGCAGTCTCTTGCTTGGCTGAACTGCACCTGCAAATCTGTCAACGTTCAGAGTTAGTGGGAGTCCAATGGGTAGTCCAATGGAAGGAAAACAAGCCTCACCTCTCCCACGACTCAAGCAGCCTGTCTCCACCACGGGATGCCTCCAAATGCATCTTGAAATCGTACTTATCGCCTTATCGCATCTATCTGAGACTGAAATTGTTAGAGCCTGTTGTATAGTCACCGAGACTTGTAGCGTCAGAAGATGCTATGCCCACACAGCACTCAGAGCTCTCTGGTAAAGCGATCAACGCATATAATGAGAATACGATGCGAAAGCAAAAACAAAGGCTCCGGCACTTGAGCTGATTATATAGATCTCGCAATTGGCTCAACACTGCAAGCTGGACCCTTTTGCAAGTTCCTCAAATTCATTGTGTGTGTGGGTGCTGGTTTGAAGATTTTATGGCCAGCATGAGTATAAGAAACTGTCTTAAAGTTCTGTGAGGGGGTTGCAAAATGAATATTTTGTATGTTGTTTATAGTTGGCAACTATGAGCCTTACAAACTTGTTTTTATTTGTCTCCGGGGTGACTATATACTTGGCCCCCTCCAATCCATCCATGCCCACTGAGGTGCCCTTGCGGCTCATCAACGTGCAGCTGCGTACGGTGCTGGCGGTGGGCGGTGTGGGCGGCTTGGCGGTGGGTTTGGCCCTGCAGAACCTGGTGCAGAACCTCATCTCCGGGCGCCCCAGCAGGATGTTCGTGCAGGTGACTGGAACAAACGCGGTCAAGCACTTGGTGCTCAACAGATGGATCGGCCAAAGAGATGTGATCACATGCGCAGAGTGGGCACGTGGGTGAGTATTTGAGTAATTCTTCATCTCAGGTGGTTTGGGATGTTTTAGGTGAACGCTTTCACTACAGTAGAAAAGTGCCTCGCGGCTGGCACTAGTGCAATGAAGTAGGATGAATCAATGAGGTTGGTCCTTGACATTCGAGGGCCAGTTTTTATGGATTCGATGCATCAATACTGGTGTAAAACATGCCACGACACAATTCACCCTTAGACATCTACTGAAGACACACTCCTATTCCAGGAGTTGAAATCAATGGGTGATGCAATCCATGATCGTCAAGCCAGGGGTCAGATCCAAATGCCAAGACCTTCTGAAACAGTGACCGGACCACCCCGCCGTGACGTGACGATGTCGATTGCGCGACGGAGGATTCTCATTTACACCAACGCGACGATTTGCGAAGGTTTGGAAGTAGAGCTGCAAGATGTGAAGCTCCAAGGGGTTGTTTCAGAAGTGCCTTGGGCTTTCGCATGCATTTGGAGTGTGGTTGATGTGTTTTTGCTGAACATCAGGAAGGACATGGTACAGGTGCAGCATTCCAACAGAGGGCTTAGAATTGAAAAGGGGAGATGCATTATGTCCTCTCACGAGTTTTGGTTTGGGCCTAGGCCATCCTAGGCTCTTGATCACGAAACAGCTTGAAACTACTGGAAGTGCCTTTGTTCCGTAGCCAGCTGTCACCGGCCATGCTGTTTTTTGCCGGTCCCAGGTCGGCTGGTTCAACACCACGGTGAACGGCTACGAAGGCACGCGGGTCACGGTGCCAAATCGGCGCATCCTGGATGGCACGGTCATCGATAAGACCAACAAGCGCTTCAGAGTCTGCCAGAAGCATTTGGCAGCTTGGCTAATGGGGCAGAGCTTGGGCAGGAACCCTGCAGGGATCTGCAGGGTTAGTTAAGAAATGGGAGATGCCCCCGGTGCTTGGGCATGGCGAAGTAGAGTTGCCCCAATGGGACCCAAGGGTTCGTCTACTGTAAACGTCATTGAGAGGTAGACTGACACTCCACACGATATCTAACCATAAGGACACTCGGCTGCAAAGGACTGCTGGGCTTGCAGCCAAATGCTGCCGAGGTGACAAACAATATAACCGTCCTGTGTGTGTGCGTGCTTGCCTGATGGTTCTATCTTTCTTTCAAATGCCTATCCACTGTGAGCTCTGTTGGTTGTTTTTTTTTCTCAAAGCGGCTGTTGTATGCAGCCTGTGGCCTCCAGAACATGCATCACAGCGACGTGCTCTCAGACTTTCACCCAATCAGCACCTACTCAGCATCCTCCAGCCGAGCCGCATGCGTCCGCATGCGCCGAGCCGAGACTGTGACGTTTCAAGATCCTTCGAACTTGGAAGTGCTTGATTCTCGGCCAGGATTGGGGGGCGAAGCCGGCGAAGCTTGCTGTGTGACATGTCATAGCCCACGTGACTGGGTTTTCATAGATGTTCAGAATCAGAACAGCAGCTGGATTCCCTGCATGATGGATGCTTGGATGTCGGGATGAAGTGATTTGTTCGATCCTCATTCACATCTCCAGACAGCTGCTTCATACAACACGACGGGCACCTGACAGCATGCAGAGACACAACACTCAACACTAGTCTCAGGCTTCCAGAGTGAGAACAGTTGCAGATTGGTTTGGCCTCTCAAACATCCTTGGTTTGGGCTAGAAGAGCCTGGAGTTCAGGCCGGGAACATGTCGTTTTGGACCTGAGTCCTTGCGGTCGCCGCTTCGGAACCAGGACGATTCTCCTGATCACCGGATGAGAAACGTATTCCGCCGAGGTCAACACCGTTCAGGACGATTTGCGGAACAACCCCAATGTGCTTCAGAAGTCTGCAGCCAGGAATGCCCAGAGAAGAGAGCGAGGGAGTGGGAAGAAATCGTGTGGAGGACACTGCGCTGTGTGGAGGATGTCCTAGTAGATTCCTTTGCTAGTAATTACAATTCTAATTGAATTCTTATTGTTACTAGTAGTAAGGCACTTGTTCCTAGTAGCTTCTTGTTACTACTAGTAAGGCACCTGTTACTACTAGTAAGGCACTTGTTACTAGTAGCTTCCTTCCCCCTACTTTTATTATGCGACTTTTGAGGTTGAGAGATGCAGCCTGCAGGAGCCAGTACCGTTGTGCAGGTGTTTGCTGTATAAATATTAAAATATAGAATCTCAGGATGTCAACCTGCTAATGAGACTTCAGGACAGCAGACAGTGGGTCAATAAGCCCTGCTTTTATCCACGTAAGACTCGGACTGACTCAAATATCAAAATGGTTGTGCAATCTGGTGTTTTGCACCACCATCCATCTTCCTTGATGATCCTCTCATACTCACTGCTGCTTGGTCTTCTGCGGAATCCGCGCCTTCGGTCCGCGTCTTCGAAGCCTCAGGTGCTTCGAATTCTCATGGCCAATCGAGGCGAGCGATACGACGGGATGCCGATCGAAATCCTTCGGAGCAAGAAGCCGAAGGATGTGTCATGATGCATAGTGGTCCCTAAATAGATAGAAACGGTTTCCCATACATTGGTAGTGGGGAGGTGCTTTTCTATCTAGTTGGGGGCGTGGGCGTATATCAATGCTCACCTGTCCGACCTTCACACCCTGAAGCCTCATGGTCGCATTGACGGGCGGTTCCAACGATCCGAAACTCGGATGTCGCCGGCCTCCAACATGAGTGCTCAAGTTCCAGATATGATGTTTGCAGCCAGCCCGGCTGATGTTTCAGAGCTGGTACAGTAATTAAGAATCATGTCCAGATGAGGCCAGCACCCACACGTTTCGGCCAGCACCTGGGGTGTGGCGCTTGCGCAGCGTGGAGGCCATATGAAGATCTATGAGCCACAGTTCGTTTTGGCTGGATGGCTTTTCCCTCAGAACAGTGAACAGGCATTCTCCGGCCTAGACTGGCTAAGAGCAGTCTGAAGCTGCCTGAGTGGGGCATGAGTGAAGAATCATGATGAAAGAAAGCTTTACCGCCGCGTTTGACGCTGACCTATTGTCTTTATAAGCTGTTTCGATAGACAACCAAGGGTTCCTCAAGCTTTGTCCAATCAACCACAGCCAACCTAGCCTTGCTTGGGGGCTTGTCATGGCTTCGACTGTGTGGCCATCCAACAGCCACAATTTTGTCCAGGGGTTTGACTTCCATGGCTCTTTTTCCCTCGTATCCTCTCCCAAAAAGCATCAAAAAGCGTGTCCGACGTGGACAGCATTGGTCGGCGAATTTTGGATGGTCTCAGGTCAGAATACGGCGCCGACTTCTACCTTCGAGCTTACTTTGAGAAGAGCCTGCAGGTGCCAAAGGGGACGGTTCACAGTGTGGGTTTCCCCACATGGCGTCAGTTCCTGTTTCCTGGCAATTCGCACTCAATGAACCTGTGTTTGGCATGTGCTTGACTTTTGCCATTCCCTGAATGGCTCCATAACGTGAATCACAATATAGGTTGACATGAATCAATTGACTGCTAGGGGTGATGATTTGGTTGCAAGATCGACCCCCACCCTTCACCCCTTCACGTGCCGAAGCTGACGGAGCCGACCACGATCGCCAGGGGGATCGCTTTCTGACTCTACAAAGCCAGCTCTTGATTGCCGTGTGGCTCGGCAATGGATTGTGTGCCCAGACCGGTGATGGGAGTGATGGCGGTCGTGGAGGCGGCTGAGCAAATCAATGTTTTGTGTTCCGGCCCAGCAGCCCAGCAGCAGTCTCGTACGGCTTGCTTTCGGCTGCAGGAGCAAGAGAATCAAGCAGTTTGGAGGCCGATTAGGCTGGGAGTTGGGCGCGTCGGAGATTTGAGGCACACAGTTTCATAGACTCGGAATGTGACGTTTTCATAGAGGCGGAATGCTTGGAATATTTATTTATATATACTGCATGTTACGGCATATCATATCCTTCCCCGCAAACGCAACCTTGTGCCATATCAAACCCGGTATTTATTTCCCATGGGCCAAGTTGAAATACAAGGTACTATTTAACACAAGCTCCTGCTTGCGCATGGCTAGTCTAGAGTGGTCAGTCTCGAAGCTGTTCTTTGGCCACACCCAAGGCCGCCACTCATCCTTATCCCCCTCCTCTTCACTGCACTGACCAACCAACTATGATGATTGTAGATCAATCGAAAGTCAAATCTGAAAGGGGGACAGAGGAGGAAAGAGCAAAGGACTTTCAGGAAGAGATCGGCCAACTGAATGCAGCAACTTCAAGTTTCCTTGTTAGCCAGTGTATGGGTACACTCCCTGAAGTAATCACGGAAGTGGAAAATATTTTCCTGGAATCCTGGACAAAAAAACATGTTCCTCTGGCTCTTCACTTCCATGTCAATGACTTGGAGTGTAAACCTTTGGGTGCCGAAATGATGCCCAGTCATGCTCAGCATGCTCTTCGAACGAGGCAGCCCTTTGACGCCTTTAGTTCCAGCGCCAGTATCGCGGGATGGCGCCGAACCGCCCCAACGAACGCCCAAAAAGTGGCGCTTGATGTGGGGCAGTGTGGGGCAGTGTTGGTCAGTTGGCTCGACTCTACTGTTTTGGTGTTGTGGCAATGCGTTCCTTTTCGCATCATTAGTTCACAGTTGGGTACATCCAAGCACATGTTGTAACAATTGGACAACTGAGTGGGCAACTGCAGCAATGTGTTACTTCTCTCAACTAGTCTAACCCAACAGTGGCATACACGGCAGAACTTGTTGATTTCTCCCAGCTTTGCGGACTTACTGTGGGCGATCGGGAGCGTTTGGAAGAGGGGAACCTACCTAACCGTCCTCGAATTTCAGAGGTCTACGGAGTCTACCTAAAGGCGTGGTGAAGAGTTCTTCATCATCAGATCCTCAATGATCTCCTATAGTCCCCTTCACCATGCCTTCAGCTGCCTGAAACTCCGCAAGCAGCTGCTGGAGGCCCAGGCAGAGACGGTTCAGGCCAAGATCCTGGCCAAGAGGCGCTCTTCGGGGAACCGCTTTACCTCGGGTCCGGGACAACGACCAGCCAACCGCCAACCCGGCCTTAACGGGGTTTGCTCGGCGGTCGGTGAAGAAGACCGGTCCGAAGGGGCTTCCTTTGAGTGTCTCCATCGGCCGCGACAGAGAGGCGGGCCATGGCCTACTTGTCCAAGCAGCCGGTCTGCAGGCGCGAATGGGCCGGTTTGATGTGATTGGTGACATGGAAGTGGATGGCATGGCTTATTGGGACGACTGCCAAAAGCAGGAGGATACAGAGGGGTCAACGTCACTTCTCCCAGTTTCAGACAGAACGTGTTTCGGCCACCCGCGACGTACCAGAGTGGCCTGGTCACAATGATCGTCCACCAAGTAGGGATCCCAGCCTCTTTGTGATGATGTTGGTTATGATGCTTGTTATGTGTTGTTATGATGCTTATGATGCTTATGATGTTTGTTATGATGCTGGGTTTGTTTCCTCTGTTTTTGTTTCAGTGCTCATGATGACTTCAAACCCCCACGCCCGAGATAGCACTCCGCAGCGACCACGTGGGCACCGCGAGCAGGGCGAGAAGAGCCGCCACGCGCTTGGCTCGCTGGACTTGGTGAAGTCCCAAGAGGGTTCGTGGAGACTTGGGCGTTTGATTTTATACTGTATATATTATTTTACTAAGCAGTGCTCGAGGAATGAATTGTAAAATGATGTACAGTAAAATGAATCGCCTTTACAGCCTTTACAACTACTTAATGAAGCGAGAAGAAATCGCGTTATATAAGAGATTTATGCATGCATGGCTATGGAATAAGAACAAACACATAAATCTACAAAAATGACTCTAAAAACCCGAACAATTTTTAACAGCTCAACATACCTTGAACAAACTTGTCAACACATGCAACATAGTTCTTTTACATGCAAACAGGACAGTGATCAGCACAGCTATGACCACAGCTACTCTGTGGATGATCTCATTTCCTTTGTGGTCAGCTGCTGGGACCACTTCATATGATCAGCAATGTAGGGATTGACCAAATTGAGGTATGTTCCTTGTTTTAAAACAGTATATTCGGACAACAACAACGAAACTGACAAGCGATGTGGAAACATGAAAAACCATGAGAAAATGCATTTACAATGCGAATGCTTTGATCTATATAATCCCCCTCTTGTCTAAGTGATCAATATGTTTTGATGAAGTACTTTTTGAATTTGTTCAACTTGGGTCACTCTTGACAGTCGATACGATACTCCCAACCTTCTACACAGTGGCTTGGTCCGCGCCAGTACAGCGCTGGAGTCTAGAGGATTTGTTTTCCAAGCGTGGTCCTTTGACCTTGACCCCTCCTAGAACTGAGTCTAGACTCTGTCTATGTCGATGCTGGCCAAGGCTGGAACCAAGTCTGCTGCAGCAGCATAACGCTGTTGAAGCTGGTGGAGGCGCTCGTTGGGTATCAACATCCATTTTGTCGATTAGGGTGCACCAACAGCTTCTGGATGACTGGCTCCGTGGTGGTCTATGTGTGTATATATATATATGACTTAAAGTTATATAATATAGTGTGATTAAATTTGCATTTATAACTTTCTACTTTTCAGCTAGGAAGCCTTTTTGGACCCGTTTGGAACAGTTTCACATGTCACCTTCACCTTGTAGAGAAGCTTGGAGTCCAGAAGCAGACGACATCAGTGACGACATCATATCCTGAACATTTTGCAGCCTGTCTCGCACGTCAGCCAATCATCCTCGATCATCCTTCTCATCTGGGGAGCTTGCGGGCTTGCACCAGACTAGGTTGTTCCCTCGATTCTGATTCTGTACGTCCGCATAATTAGTTTGTACATGTTTGTACCTAGGAATCCGTCCAATGCTCTTCTAATATACCGTATACATCCGTATACCATCAATAATCAATCTTTCATTTATACGAAACTGGATAATATAAACTTCGAACGGGTACATCCGGGATAGCAGTGGGCCCATGGGCCCATGGGGAAATCCAATTGTGGGTGGCTGCATACCATAAGGACCCCTTGGAGCCATCGCCGTCCTAGCCGTATCAAAAAAGACCTGTTATCCCTGAGAGCCCACGAAGAGAACAAAAACAACCACAACAACCACAACTACAACCACGACCACGACCACAACTACAACTACAACTACAACTACAACCACAACAACCGCAACCACAACCTCAACATCAGTGACTATCGAATATTGCCAACAAAACAAGTCCAACTCTCCCTCAAAAAAACAAGTCCAAACGCTCAGAAGATCTTGTCTGAATCCTTCCACCGACTTCCCCCGTGCAGCCCCGGAGGTCTCCACGCTTCGCATGCCTCGCCCGACGGAGTCGAGGTCGGCGTCGGCCCGGTGCGGTCGGCGCGTGTTTCATTTGCTGTCCACCCGGTGGATCCACCAGGCAACCAACAAGGAACATATAGGAACCAGGGGCTGTAATCGTTCGGTCTAATATGGGTTGTAGATGTTGGAGCCACCATAGTGTTACCAGCTATAGTGGGAACTGGATTCCCTCAGAAGGTGATGCCCTCCAAGTGTCATGTGGAAGTGTTTGTTCAACTTGGTTGAGGTCAATGGTCATATCATGTCATATCATTGTATTATACTGTATTCGATGTCCATCCGGGTGGAATTCCTTGCGTTTTGCACCCAAGAAAACCGCTCAGGTTCCCAAACTGGTAACCAGTAACTAGTCCGTCAAGAATGTATCCGTTCAACGAGAGGGCGCCCAAGGCACTTCTGTTCACCGAGTAAATGCAATGAAGTTCCCACTCCCGTCGCGTCCCACATTCCAAACTCTCCATCCTTCCAACTGTCCAACCCTCCACTACCAGTGCTCACAGCCCACCCTGCCGAGACGGTCGAGACCAAGGGCTACACGCAGAGAGCAGCGGATGCTCCACCGCCCGAGCTGCCCAGTGTCACGTTTGGGCAGTTGACGGCTGACAGTTTTTTGTAGATGAGAATGATGAGCCCGCCAAGTGACCATGTGTGTGTTTTTGTGATTTTTTGTGCGTGTGTGAGTGTAATCATATGAACACAGCCTTGAACGTGGAGCGAGTTGTGGAAATCCTAGTGTAACTTGGGCATCGATACGTCATTGTTGAAGGATTAATTTTGAATGTTTGGCATGTCTTAACTTCGAAGGCAGCACTGCAGCACCGTTTGATCGAGAGTTTTGTTCAAGTCTTTCAAACACTCAAAGCAACTGTCGTCTACAGTATGTTATATCAGGGCCTGTGCTTTTGAGCGATGAGGGGCAGGAGGCAAAGAAGGAATGGAAAACAAAAAGCTCGGGGACGGCATATCCATGCCAAGAAGCACAGTGAAGAGGTAAACATAGACTTGTTGCATGTGTTGAAGAACACGCCGCCATGCGCCACAGCGGTGTAACATGTTGAAGTTCTTTTGCGGAACAATAAGGCAGGCTGTTATATAGGTATTATGGTATTCAACTTTAACCCTTTCCAACAGTTGTCGAAGAGCAGCCATGGAAGGTCAGTTTCCTCCATATACATGGTGCGCGGCTTCCATGACCTGGAGGGTAAATGGTTTGATATAGTTTGATCATTGACGCCGTGCTCTCCCCCAAACCAAAAGAAAGGGGACTGTGCAAGACTGAATGCCGCAGCATATACCACAGTATGGTTCTCCTTGCATTTGAGGCCAGCTTCTTCGCTCGAAGAGGCCCATGAGAAGCTGGAGAGGCAGGACCAAAGCTGTGGAGGTGTTGGCCCACAGCTTTGGACATATGACATCCAGTTGGTGTGTCAAGCATGTCAAGCATAACCATTACCACACATGCTAGCCATGCCCCCAAGCTTTTTGTAAAATATAGTAAATTATGTTGTCTTTTTTGGGGGGTGCAGTTGTCCAGGACTGTTGTTTACCCTCATGCCGGTGAATAGAGGCAACAGGATGTTCTTGTCACTGCTGTGAGAACTGAAGCTGTTGACCACTGACAGGCAGGCATCATGCCAAAAGATTGCCAAGGCAGGGTCGATGTTTACCAGGGGCCTGCACATTCACTGCATAGCTTGGATGTGGCCCCACGTTCTCGAAGCAGCCACTGTGTCCGCAATTCCTCGACTGCCTTTGAGGAAGGGCATTTGACTCCTTTTGAGTCACTGCTAGCTCAAGTGACCTCAACTTCTGGTAAGGGTGGTGTCCTTATTCCAGGTGGTGAGTGGACCATAACCAGAACAAAACACGTTGTGCCTATAGGCGTTTCCAACTACAGTATTTGATGAGGTTACTGTACCTGAAAGTACCAACACCAAGTTGAAAGCCATCCTCCACGCGTAGGAGCCGTAGTAGAAGCATGTAGAAGCCATTATTGTTCTACTGATTTTGGGACCTAATGAGGTTACCCAGATGGATTTCTGCCACTGGATGCCGGCTCAAGGTCTTGGCCGAGCGCTTTGGCTGTCGGAGCCTTGCGTGCGCGACTGTCGCGTCGTGACATCGGCGGCACGCGCGGGCGGCGTGCCACTTTCAAAGACTTCCGGATGCTGTTCAAGCTCTGGAAAGTTTGGATGTGATGCAGATGTTTCGGTTTTCATTTGAGTTTGGGCAGGGGGGCGATGCAGATCGAAGTGGTAGAGTCTGGTAGAGGTGAGGGATTTGCGACCGCTTTGCGTTGCGAAGGTTAGAAGAATAGATGATCGCTGTTCGGTTGCTGCAGCCAATTCTAGGACAAGATGCAAGGATTCTATGTAGGGACGGGGGCCAATCAGCCTTCGGCCAGTGAAAAGAAAGGGGAAGAGACAGATGAGGTTGGGTCAACACAAAGGATAAAGAAAGACTGATGAGTTCTTGTATTTTAGGCAGGTGATATTTTTGAAGATGTGCCTTTGTGAGGCATGCTGAGTAAATGGAACAAGAGTCACATGGTTTGACACGCTTCGGTGGGCTGCACTAATACAAACTCAGTAACCAGTAGCTGGCAGCATGAATTAGTTCACTGTGTGTTCGACCGAGGCCACGCCCCCGGGAAGGGCCTGGAGGATTTGCTGCTGGCGAAGGCGGAGTGGGGCCTGGAGTCGTGGCGATCAGTGACACCGAGGAAGCAAGCTATCTACACCCTCATGATACATGGATATACATGGATAGTCATGAACTGCGGCTCCATTATAAGAAGTTCTTGGGTGACCCATGTCGTCATAGGTGGCAATTGAACATGCAATTAGAGAAGAGAGATCCTTGCAGCGCAAGCAAGTTGAACATGCAAAAGTCACTGAACTGCAACGTTGTCCTGAGATGTTGTCCTGCAACGTCAGGAGTCTGAAGTGGTGAAGCTACAGCAAGAGGTTTGCTGGTCACGGAGAGAAAGCCCGATACGGGGGGGGCATGGCGTGGCGCCGATGCGGGGTTGTGGTTGATTATTTTTTTTGCGGGGGGCTTTTGGATGGCTACACTGCAAGCAACGAAGATGAATCTTGGAGCTGCACAGGCAATCCCCAGAGACTATGATGCCCTTCTATGGGATAATGAGGATATATGAGGACCTGAGGAATATGAGGATCTGTGAGAGCTTAGTGACCGGGGTGTATGTCAAATGGGACATCGGAGGTCAGGTTTTGGGAGGATGGCTCAGGATGGCGCCATCATGAGATGGCAGAGGAGAGCATCGTTTGTTACCTTATAATGTCTTGTGACCATTGACGGCAGAATTTCCGCATCGCCCGAACTAAGGGACTAACGGACTCTATATAGTGAGAATGGGGCCGTTTGGTGTTGCTCTTAGAACATGTTTTATTCTTTTAACAAGGCAGTCTCGAGGAATGGCATAGAGGAATATGTGACCCATGACATGTTTTTATGTTGTTTTGGTATGTTTATATCACCCTTGCGGTCAAAGACCTCTGAAAGCTCGGAAAGAAAGAACTGTCGCTTTATTTTGTTTGGCCCTGACAGTCATGCCGACTCCGACTCTGCCAGGTCATCTCTTTGCGCTCCGAGAGGGAGCAACTGGAATTGGCCTTGGAGGCCAAACCTGGACAGACCATGACATCCCTGGAAACACCGTCTGATCGGTCTTTTCAGATTAAATGCCCGTGAAATGCTGGCAAACATGTAGGACTTTTGAAGATCTACAAAGGTCGATACAGGCACTGGTCACTCAAATCTTCATGGCCTGTGTCAGCATTTCATGAGCACAGGCGGCAGAGCGGCGCATCGAGGAATTAACAGCCTCTTGGTGGCCTATGGGAGCAGCTATGATGTTCAATCCCACGTGAGTTTTCAAGAGAAACGGATGTAGACGCTAGTGTAGGCAAGAACATGCGTCACCTATTTTTGTAGGCTCTACTGTAATTCTATCTAATTCTGACTCTTATGTATGTCAAACATGTTTTTCAAGTGACTGACTGACTTCAAAAACCACGATCTTTGTCGCTCTCATTGGCAGGGTCCGAGCAATCAGCTGGTTGGATGGGTTGATCTCGGCAAAGAATGGTGGTCGAGTCGCGGTTTGGAGACGACGGACCGGCCATGGGGCACAGTCTATGCCGCGGTCCATCATGGTTCATCCGAACAGCTGCGCCTGCTAAGGCATCCTGTTTCTATCCCATAATAAGGTATTTGCTATGGAGGCTTTCCAGGAAGAAGAGCCCCAGTCCCTACAGCTTCCCCCATGGCAGCCTTGGCCATTAATGGTCTTCATCCTTGTCTCAACTGAGGTAGCGAACGCTAAGGCACAACCAGTGCCAGTGAAGGAGTCTCCTAAAGATCTCGTGAAGGCACGGCGTTTGGAAATGGGATGGGCGGAAAGTATGCCTGTAATGCTTGCAGCTGTCCGGGGAGCTAGGTTCCTCCAAATCTCAAAAGTTGGTGAGGTTGTGAGGCTGGAGTCCTAGCTCCAGGAGCTTCTGTTTCTCAGTTTCTCGTGTGAGTCCCCCAAACTGGTCTCGCCCTATAAGCAAGAAGCATGCTAGTAGAATCCTTTGGAACAGAAGTGGTCATCCATCCAGTCATGCTGTGATCTCACCAGGATTTGCCATGATTTACCAGGTCGGTCGCCACACCTGGTGACACCAAGCTGGTGACACCGCTTGGACACCTCGACTCACCTCACCGCACCAGAGGCCTCCTCCGCGGTGATGACCGTTGACGCGGTGCTCGCTGTCGGTGTTGGACGGGGGGAGTCGCTGGGGAGAAGACGACGGCGGTCGGACGGAAGCACATCAAAGCACCGGTACATGTCAGGGCTGTGTAAGAATGTGGAAAGTCAAGTGCATTTACTGTATATATTTTAACAAGTTCTGTTGTGGAAGGAAACTGAAACTGGTGTAATCAGAAGGAGCGTGAGAGGTGCAACAGTACGTCAGTTAGTGCAAGATGGCCTTATAGCGGGTTGCATTGCAGGCATCCCATGGGAACCCGGTGGCTTGGATGCCCTTCGACCGACCCCAACACGCAGGACCCTCCCATGTGACGGAGCCGAGAGATGAGGCGGGGCAACAATTTTGGTGGATTTGTGCCCCTGTCAGCTGAGCAGTTTGGGAGGAATAGAGCAGAGTCCAAGGAAGACAGAAATCTTAGACCACCTGCGCGGCGCGGGGAATGTAAAACATGTTTGAAACCACTGCAAATACTTGCACCAATTTGCTCAATGATACTCCATGCTTTTTTTGCATGTCAGGTGGTGCAGGATCTCCATCGTAGGACCCGAGTGATGGCCTGCAACGGACATTTCCCAGCCAGCCAGGCCAAATGAACGCCAAAAAGTAACATAGGATAGTCCCCTTGGATGGTCCTGGTATGTCCTGGTACAATTTTTTGTGTGCTTTTCCTTTCCTCACTGGTCCCCAGTGGATGTTCCAACATGTTCCACCGATTTGGGATACACCATGATTTTGGGGTTCATGTGTTGTTTTGTGTGCGGCATAGTGGCACTGCCATACGGGTTGCCAATGACCAACACCCTTTGTTGTGCATGAGTGCATGACTCAAGGCCCT